ATAGCTCCTGTTTCAAGGCAAGTGAAGACCTTGAAAGTCGTAAAAGAAACAGTCAAGGTGAGTTCACCTGAGTTTTAGAGTTCAAGAGAACTCAAGAGAGGTCTGAATTTCAACGACCTCAATATCCTTGAATATACAGTAACCTGGAATATCAATGGACTTTGTGCCCTGCGCTACGGTAGGGTAGGGTAGGGTAGGGTAGCCACTTTGGATGGAGAAGCAAACTTCCTGCTTGGAAGGGTGTCCGCATTTGGTCGAGCTATTCGATTCAATAACAGGTTTATGTTTTCATAAAAGATACCATTTTCTCAGTCTTTCCAAACTGTGTGTTTATATACATTTTCCTACACTCCACATAAACAATTGACAGAATTGACTTCATCGCCTGATGGAAACTAGCAGCAAAGCAGTCGATTCATCGTGAGACAGACAGATAACATCAATCTACCTAACTCCAAAAATACAGGACTTAAAATATCTTAGTAAAAATGTACCGATGCGCGGACGAAAAAATAAGCAAAACAGAAAATAAAGTTGCGGTCGCTTATTGTGATGTTGAGAACCTTGGCCATCAAAACTGACAATTGTTAGAAGGTAAGTCTCGTATAACGTCTATTTCAATAATCAAACAAAAAATCTCGTAAAAAAATGGCGCGGGATCGGGATTCAGGCGTAAAATAGAGTGGGATGGCGGGATTCAGAAGAAAAAAGGCGGGAAAGCGGGATTTGAGAACCCCTATTGTACACCCTCAATATTGGCGTAGTGTGTTCAGAACTGGGAAAACAGAAGCCTAGATTATTAAGAAGTCTGAAAGAAGAGGTCAAGACTTGACACATGATGTCGCGAATAGCGTCCAAGACGTTCACGAGTTGGTTAAAAAAAATGAACAGTTCATGTAAATTTTTTCTGCTCATTTTTCCCATGAGAAAATTTTCCAACTAGAAGCAAAGTAAAAACCCGTGAAGACACTAGAAGTAAGAGAGAAAAAACTGATGAATTGGCACCAGAGTAATATCGCGTGAACGGAATTGGGGGGAACCTTTATCCGTCGCGTCTGGATGAAACTGATAAAATAGAATAACTCACGCGAATCTTTTCCAGAAGAGTCAGCGAAAAAGAATTAGAAACACAGCAGTTCTATGTCATGTTATCTCATTTTGCTTGGTTCACTCTACTGCCTACACTGCAGATGATAAAATTACATAATTTTCGACATCTTCCGTAAATAGCGTTCATGCTTTCACGTTCACGACTCTTTGATCTTGAAAGGTCCTTTGTTCTAAGTATGGGCGAAATATTTCTTTAGCGCCTTTATGGAGTCTTTAATGTGTACGCTAAAATCGTTAAAAAGGAATCTACGTCATTTGTGCAAACTGGATTTGACAAAACCCGAGACTGCAGAGAAAATAGAGACTGAAAATAGAAAAAATAGAAAATAGAGACTGTCCTGGTGACTTTGTACACAGAGTCAAAACTGAACGCCAGAAAAAAGAGACATCAGTGAAGCCCTTGCTTACCTGCACTTAATTTTACAAACGGACGAAAATGCGGAAAGTCTGAGTTAACCAGAAATTAAAATCACTGCCAAGTAGCAGTAAACATAAACGGTTTGATATTGCGAACAAATAAGTTAGCCAAGTTTGGAAGAAAAATACCATTACATATTTATAAAGTCATTGACGTCCTTTACCACTAAATTATCAGTAGGTAATGCCTTAAAGACTTAAAGTTGACGGAAATCATGTATAAAACAAACCTTTGTTCGGGAGCCAGAAGTGAGCGTCCGCACCAGACGATGTGAAGATGTGAAATGAACCCTGCTACGTGGCACAGATAACTGTCTTAGTTGATGTATGACGTTATATAACGTCTGGGAGCGAGGTAACATATATATTATGGTCACGCGCCGATGGGAATAGTCGCAAAACGAGTACAATCTACAAACCTCTTTACTATGGATAAGCCGGACGAAGCCAAACGTCCGCATTATCGCGCTTGCGTTAAAAAGATGTCACCATGCATTTAATAAACAGGTTCGGACTGTATGAAGTTTTGTAACCTCGGAATCCGAAGAGAAATGTCTGCCGTAGAAAAGTCTGCATTAGGAGAGTTTCGACTGTATTGGTTATGGGCTCCTGATGGGACAGTTAAAGGCTATACCTTGGAACTTCGGTTAAACATTTGCGAAAGTGACTGTTCGACATTTTTTGCAGATTGACGAAGTCGCGGAAAGTTCTTCCTCTTAAATAATGTCAAACCCCCTAAATACGGACACTGAGGGAGCCATAAAAGGTGTCCGTACTAACGGGGTGTCCGTCGATTAAGCGGGGTTAATTTAGAGAAAATATAAGAACTTTCTTTCCCCAAGGACAAAGCATGCAAACTGTCCGTAATAACTGGGTGTCCTTCAAGCGGTGTTTGACTGTACATTGACAACACTTTTTGGGCTGTCCAGAGTACTTTTAGATATCTAGAAATGCACTTCAAGAGGCGCTATAAAATTTGTGAACGTGAGTCTTTTACGAGGGACTCAGTATTATTTTCCCGAAAACTTGAGATGCAATTTAACGTTTTGCGAAGGGAAGAATTTTACTTCATCACATTTCTGAATCTGAGAGTTTGAGGTTTCCTTTTTTGAATAACCTGGACAGTGAAATGTGAAAAATTAAACTTTAGAAAGTCTTACGGAATCTACTACATAAACTTCGAAAACTGTACTCGAATGGAACGGTCATCTAGACATTTTTAGTTGTCCTCAAGTAATAGACCATTCGAGGAAATATTTGCTTCTCCAAGCAGATATTTTACAGAAAACAGTTGTTGGGTGCCCCTGCTTATTGAAGTTCTTCAGCACATTGAATTATCCTCTAACAGATCGGATACACCATCCGTGGTTTTGTTCAACATCCTTCAGTTAGGTAGTCTTGATCGCAGTCTGTTTTGTCTCGTCACGGCTGTAGGGTAGCCTGCGAACGCAGACGTGTTTCCGGTCTTCGCTTCTCTCCACCCGAAAAGCAGGCTGTCCGAAAAACCGAAAAGTAAAAGTCAGAAGTTACAAAAAAAAAGAACTCTAAGAAAGGGTCTGTCAGCCTCCTCACGGTCAACGGCGGAATATACCATAGAACGTAGGATCTAGAGAAGACCTGATCAGCAAAAACATACAAAGTAGACGCGTCGAATTCTGCAAAGCTGATCGTCCTACTTGAAAATTAGCTTTGCAAGACAGCAACACGACACCGAAAGAACCTCAAAATAGAGCAGGGTTGCGGCCGGAGACAGCTGTTTCCCGGCCATTACTGTGGCTCCTGTTACGCCGTACTGATGCATGAGCCAAGAGAAATGTCTGCAGTAGAAAAGTAAGCATAAGGAGAGTTTCGACTGTATTGGTTATGGGCTCCTGATTGGACAGGAGGGTATAAGGTGGAACTTCGGTTAGTTTCAGAGCAAGCCTAAAATTTGCGAATAGTTAACGACATTTTTTGCGGGTTGACGAAGTCGCGGAAAGTTTCTCCTCCCGACCTACTAACCACAAAAAAGAACTTTAAGAACGCACGCTGACTGCCTGTTACTATCAAGGAAGCCAGTCCCTCAGAACATAGGCATATGACGGAGTGCCCCTCCCCGGTTACTTTGAGCCTCTGTTCAGTTAGTTAACGCCGGCTGTCTTCGATTTTCAAGATAGCTAGTTAGTAATACTACAGTAGCCTTGCTGATTACGTTGAGTCGTCTTGTGGCATAAGTTTAATAAACAATTATCCTGAAAAGAAAACTTAACTTACGACAAGCTATTAGTTATAACAAAAGGTCATATCATACATAATGCAGTAGATTGTTTAGTGGCGGATCCAGGGGAGGCAGCCGGGGGGCCCGCCCCCCTTATATTTAGACCAATCTGAGGCCCGAAGGGCCGAAAAAATGTTTTTTGGAGACCGCTCCCCTCCCCCTCCATTAAAGGGTCTGGATTACCGGCCCCCTCCCCTTTTGATGGACGCACGTCAAGTGGAAGTGAGCCCTTTTTCCTTTTTTAAAATATTATTAAATAAATATTATTAACATATGCCTTGACGCTACAAAATTTGTATTGCTAAGTGTCTTTCTCTGATGGAGACAATCTGCTAAACAATTTGATCAAAATCACGGCCAAATATTGCAAAACGTCCACTTCCGGTTGACGCGCGTCGCTCAAAAACATCGTTGTTTGAACTCCATGTTATTATCCCACATCAAGAGATCATAATAGTCCTATTATGGCTCTTGCCTGCACATATTACGTCGTCGTTTTCCAAAATCGCCGATTTTATCTGGAAAGAAAAAGAGCATTTTGAAAAGCCGGGTTTGCGGCCTATCCGGAGAACAATGATCTGTTTCTAAATAAAACAGGTAAGTGTGGACTGGGGCCAAAAAAAGGTCATAGCTCCCTTCTAGAAAAACCATGTTATTTCAGGCGAAAACAAAACAAATCGCTTTGCAGAACAACAGAGTTTTGTCTCCAAAACTTTTAATAAATATTATCTCAATAATAAATGTAAATATTAATAAATACAGTCCGAAATGAAAGGTGCGGTTTCTTTTCACGCAGTGACGGACCAGACGTCCCATACGAGGCACGTAATACTGAGATTTGTGGCTGGGGGGTGTCGGTTGATAAACCATAACCACCACGATTCGGAACGTCTGGAATTGTACTTTGGTGTTGCAATCCATGGAGTGGTGGTCTTGGCGTTTCTTGGATTCTTGGCGGGTGAGTGATTGTAGACACACCCAAACCTCTAAGATTAGAAACCGATGGAATTGTAGTTTGTGGTTGAAACCCATGTAGTGGCCTTCCCAGCGTTCCATGAGGGGACCAAAATTCCTGCATTTCGGGCGGATGTGTGACGGTAGACAAAAGGACCTTCCAGGGGCAAAGATGGCAGATGGGGCGCTGTGACAACAGGTGATGCTATAAGGGGAGGAGTATTGCTGTGGATTAACATTAAAAAGGGGGTATCCACCGAAGGGTGCCATGTCGTAGTTGAATTTATGCACGGCAGAAGAAAACAGGCCCATCAGCTGCAGATGGAAAAAGGCAGAAATTAGGATTGCACAAAAACGTAATGATACTGCAGTGAGAGGGATCTGAAGGGCTAAAATGAGAATTGAGATTTGACAATTTCTGGCCTGAAAAAACGGGATTGAGCTTTTATTTTTTATTATTTGTTGGTCCATTATGAATAACATTTGAGGCAAACTTTAAATGGGACAGTAAGATTTGACCAAATGTAAGGCTGGACAATGGGATTTGTAACCCCGCACCCTCCCCTACCTTTTTCAGGTTCTTATAGGTAATGAGTGGAGTGTTGTTCGTTGACTCACTGGAGTGGTGTTTAAGTCAGTCAGAATTCAGCTACGGGATGGCGGGGGGGGGGGGGGGGGGTTTGGGGGGTACAAAAGATAACTGGAAACCTTACCAGCACGATATAGAGGCACTTGAACTGGCTTTACGTTTTCTGGACCGTGAAAACGAGATGGTGCGTCGTGAGTACTGGGGGCGTCGTGAGTACTGAGGCGAGTGTTTCTCCGCATCTCTGCCATAGCCTGCTAATAATCAATAATAATCTAATAATCACTTTGTTGTGAAAAGGAGAATTTCTTCTTCCCTAAACCACCTTAGACGTGTGATCTTCTCTGAGTGGCCAGATCATCTTCTCGCCGATTACTCAGCTACTTGTATCGTAATTTACAACAATGTCATTTTCATCAAGCCCCCTACACGAACATACGTTTGGCTCGTCATGCAACAGTCCTTCCAAACTGGGATGAAGTGTTGCGCGACGTGCGAAAATACGTCCGGGTAGGGAGCTAATACATATCGTGTGCACGTAAGGGTTTTTACTTTCTGGACGATTAGGAATAAATGATCAACAAAGAAGTGACCCGTACGTCAAGAAAGCTATGTAAGTAAAGCTGTAGTCTAAAAAAAACGTGCAGCACCTATGAAATTCAGGATGCGCAGCGCTCGGTTTTTTCTGCAGAAACTAAGATTCCTTGTAAGGACACAAGCATGTCGCCCTGGGCTAACGGGCTCTGCTAGAGAACAGATATGAAGAGAACTTTAGATCTTAAACGACAAATTTCAAAACTAAAACGCTTATGCAGCAAATCCCTGCTAGGGTACGCCCGCCGGCGTTTGTGGAATAACCATCGGACCGTGAAGACAAAAAGAGGACGACACTACGGCGCAAAATGATCAGCTAAAGCGAAACCTGACGGTCAAACCGATCTTTCTGGAGTTCTTTGTCACTTAGTGTCAATCGTTAAGGGTGTAAGGAAGAAACGCATAGTTATTACACTCATACAGACCAACGAAGCTGTATATCTCTGCTATCAATAATTTTGAAACAAATTAGTTGACTAATCTATAAAGCCTTACTCCTAACCTCTGTCTAGTAACAATATCCAACGAAGGTTTCATGAACCCAGCTTCTTTTCCTGATTAGCGGACAAACACTGGGAATCAGGCCGGTCTTGGATCTCAGTCTGTGGCCTCGTCTTCTGTGAAGAATACAAAAAACGAAGGTTTTATCTCGCAGAAGCTTCAGTTCAAACCTTTATACAGGTTTATACTTCAATAAGTAAAGAAATTGCTTTTTAACATGTTGACATAGCAAAATGATACGGCCTATGTTTGGGAGATAGCCAGCTAACGTTATATATTTAGCAACAGGCTATATATTGCATTGATCTGACGGACCCCTTAACCCATTTCATAATATCGCTCAACCTGTCAGTCCTGACTAATCAGTGATTGTATTAATATCCTTTCAACTGTCTTCACTGTGTCTTACAACCTCAAAGCCCATCTAAGTTAAATGACGATCCTGTAAACAAGTTTGAGGTCTCTGATTCACAAAGGCATCCTAAGTGAAGATGATTCCTGACTAACGCCCTTCATTACAAACGTCAGAGTTCAACGTTGAGTTATCCACTTTGCAACCCAGCGAAGCTCAAGAATTGTCCTAACAAATAGTTTGTTACCGAATGAAATACTTATCCTTGGAGTTGCTTTCAGTAAAGATGAACCCTTAACACTGTTTTTTAATAATAATATAAATATCCAAGAAAGGCTTCGAGGTTCCGACCTTATTACCTCGTTCACTAACCAACTCTTCAACTCGGGTTCGTCCAGTATAACTTTAGGCAAGTCAGAACCACCAACGCGCTAAGGATCGCTACCCAAAGATCCGCCAGTGTTAGAGACGGTCGACGAGGCTCTGTCAACATGGTTGTGGTGATCAGGGGAGGAGCCGTGAATGCTGTTAATAATGCTCTTTTCAGTGCTCTTCTTTCGCTGACGTCCTTTGTTGGATAGATCTGAAAAAAAAAAATCAGTCCATTACTAAAAAGATCAAGAATCAAGCCCAATGGCTGTTTTCACCCTAAAGACGAATAATCCGTCTGGTATATTTACTGTCTATTAAGTATACATGTGAATTCGAGACGGATATACATTTTAAATTTGCCTTGTTACGGATTCACATTAGATGGATGAACCATGCCTTCGGAGTTGTAGCGCGGTTACCATTCCATCTCTTACTTATTGAAAAGCTTGAATAGAAATCAGACGAAACGCATTTCCTGCGCGTAACAATGTTAGGTGAACGCAAAACAAAGTAAACACTTTAAAAATGTCCCGCAGTATTCTTGTACAAAGATAAGACTTGTTACGCTAGGTTTAAAGTTGTCACTACAAAAAGGATGTTATAAAGTCCACAATAAGCTCGCTTTTCCTCTACTACACGCGGAGAGGGAAAGAAGCGGTAAGTCATCCCTTCTCCATCCCCCTCTATTTACTACATGGTACCACTCTACCAGATAGTGGACACGTTTTCGTTAGTAGCGGTGTAAATGAAAACATATGAAATGTTTTTTTTCGTAACATGGGAAACCATTTCCACATCTGTCCATTTACACCACCAAAGAATTGAAAGTGTAAGTGGGTCTTGAGTTCTAAATGAATTAAAAGCTTTAAAACCTAAAATAATAAAAAATGAGCATTTATAAGTAAGACGTTTGAAAACCTCACCTGTAATATCGATTTACCACACTTCAGTTAACCTTCCGGTTCAGAACATCTACAACAAAATTCTTCTGCTAAATCTTTCCGATTCACTAATTTATGACAGAGGGCGTCATATAAACAACGGTTAGTAGCCTCCCCTTTTTTTGTTTCCACTTTATCAGCATTGCAAATACTTTCTCAGACAGTTCTTCGTTTTCCTGGTGAAGTGCTGTTAATTCTGCGGCTTCAAGTTTTAGCCGACGCCCAAGCTTTTTCCACCTTACAACTTTCACTGACAGGAGTTCCAGATCGTCGTCCGATGGAATGCCCTCCTTAACTGCAGCCCCAAGAGAATCGCATGAAAGTAAAAATGAGAAGAAGAAGGAATCTCATTAATTTGCAGGGGGTCATGTTTTTACTGAGTTTATTAGAGTAAAGTCCCGTGCAAACGGACGCAACATTGTTGGCCAACAACTCCCAACATTGTTGGATGTTATATGTTGTTGCGTGTTGTTGCGCAAAGTTTGAAACAGGTCAAAATTTTCAGCCGACAACTCCCAACATTTCTTTTGCTCCGTGATCGCCGAAGCGTAGCGCAACAATGTTGGATCCGTTTGCACAGCTCTTCCAACATTGTTGGGGCCGCGCACGCTCATTACGCATGGTTTACAAAGACTTATGGGTTGTATCCTTCCCACGATGCACGGCAGGTCCCAACATTGTTGGGAGTTGTTGCATCCGTTTGCACACCACTGCCAACACGCACGCAACAACTCCCAACATTGTTGGCGCAACAATGTTGGGAGTCGTTGCGTCCGTTTGCACGCAGCCTAAGGGCCTGATTACATGATCCAGGCTCGGTCCCTTTGTCAATTTGCCGGGCTATCTCTATTGTCAAGTAATCACAAAGTTGAACTACCCTGCGAACTCTGGGAACGAGTTTGAGAGTTGAATTTTGTCATGTTTACCCAAGGTGCCGAGATCTCGGCAAAACTGCATATTGGGCCACCCGGCTCACGTATTTGGCCCCAAATAGTGCGTATACTAGGCATACTTGGAATGCTTTCCATTGTGCCGAATTGTCTGGAAATTTCCATCGAGAAGCTCGGTCCGAGTGAAAATTTTTTCGCAAAAATGGTCTATCTCTGGAATTCGTTTCCTTTGACCGATTGATCCGGTCTAGCTGAAACGTGTTTAAGTTATGTTTTGTTCCCGTTTTTCATTTTCCCGTTTCCCGTTTTAGTAACATCCCTAAAAAATCCTACCTTGATAACCTTCTTTGTCAGGAAACTGCCGAATGGAAGTGGGCAACCTTTTCTGAGATACAGTAAGTGTTTCCACCTCTACTTCGGAAGTATCTAGTGAAATAAAATTATGACAACAATGTTTCTATTCGCCACTTCAGAAACGGAGCCCGTTTCTCGAAAGGCTAGTTAGCTTTTCAGGCCCAAAGGCAAATTTTTAAATAAAAATCTGTTGAATAGTAGAGCACAAACCAGTCAATTTTGTTTCTTTAAGTGATTGTTTCACTTTCAAAATTATTCAAACTTTGATCTTGAATATAAATAATGCAAATATGGCAAACATTAAAGATCTTTTTGGGCTCGTAAAGTTACCAGGACTTTCGAGAAACAGGTCCCTGGGCCGAGTTATCTAGTGCAAAAGATCTCTGGGATCGTTATTGGTGACGTGCTGGTCAGCTATTGGCCAGTTTTGTTCCCCTGTCCCTAGTAACGGTCTCAGAAGTCAAAACTTAACTCGTCCCAGCTTCCTTCTCGTGGCATGAACTTTTCTGCAATGCAAATACAATTTAACTATAGATGTAATGAATTTCGGCTCACAACAAGGTCACGTCAACACACGTTGTAAGCCGATGTTGCGGCGATATTGTGACTACTTTGATTGACGGGGTTTTTTGCAAGGTAAATTCTGCCTCCTCGGATCGCCTCCAGTTGCTATAGCTGTGGACGAAAACTATCGATAAGGAGCGATACGAGGTGGCTGTAACCCAACCCAAACTTGAAAGAAACAGTTTTGACAGTCCTAGCAATACTGGCACAACATTTCATTTTAATACTGCAAGTACAGAAAGGCTAAGACTTTAAGTGGAACACTGGGCGCAATCTTAATTGACATGCGCAATGGCTAAATAGGATCGAGTGTCCATCCCTACTACTGTATTCTTGCAATATTAGGTGAAATAGTGGAATCTACCTCTACTGTGACAAACTAAGGCCATTATACTGAGTAATAACAAGACACAAACTCAAATAATTAAGACTTAGAAATTTTAGAGAAACCTTTTTATATCATTATCAGCCCCACCTTTGATCGAGGAATCCTCGCTGCTGCTCGGGAACCACCTTTTGAGTTCAGGAAGCGGAAGAATTTCACCCAAATGGCTCTGTAAACAGTACCCGCAAGATCCATCTGGCGCAACGGTCATAAGACACAAACAGCGCTCGTCGTCGCAGGGGAATTGGTCATGATTATCACATCGTTTTTCCACATTCAGGCAGTAAGGACACTTCACACACAGGTCGTAAGCTACATTTTTAAGCCAGGGAAGTGCCTCTGGCAGATTCTGCATCATCTCATTCAAAAATGTTCGTACCAGAAACGGTACTTCTTTGGCTGATACGGGCTCACATGAGGACCCATCATTTCGTTTTATTTGCTTCAAAACGACCTTGACGAATCTTTTCTTGCACACAAGCATCATGTGGTGAGTGAGCTCCTTCCCAATGAAAAACATAGATGCCCCATCGTACAATTTAGGGGGTTTCTTGAATCCACTCGTAGAGCACCATTTGGTGCATCGTGACACAAGCTGTAAATAGAGACCATGAGGCACGTATCCCATTCGCTGAAAGTCAAGGTACAGTGGACATGGATCTCCAGGCGATAGTTCCTTTACGCAGAGGTTGTCAGGAGGTGACCTTAGTGGGCATGGTACAAAATATTTTTCTTCTGTTGGTGAGAGGGCAAATTGCACGATCAATCCAAACTTCATCATCATTTTAAGGATATCCTCCTTGGCTACTCCTTGCTGACAAAACTCGGAAAACACGTGTTCAACAAGTTCCATGTTAAGAACACCTGTTTTCTCCATTTCTTTCCACAATCTACAATGCCTTGGTTCCTGAAAAATAGTGACAATGAAAAATAAAACACACACGTGAGGCAATGATAATGACAAGGGAGGATACACAAGAGAAGAAAGCGTTTTCTGGCAACATGATACAGTGAAACCTGCATTAAGCGGACACTCGCGGGGAATGGTATAGTGTCCGCTTTATACAGGTTTCGGTAGAGAATGTCATGTTAGGAGTTAAATACCATTCAAATGAATGGTGGAAACGTTTGGAATACTCCTAGAGACTCAGAGTATGACAATATATGTTTGCATTAATTTCTTATATGTGAGCGGACCAATTAATCAAAATACTTTAAAAGAAGATTGTACCTCAAATTTTAGAGGATCAAATGAGGAAAATAAGATCTGTACAAACAAAACAAAATGAGAAAACAGTACTGTAACAGACTTTGCCTACTTTCCGCTTAATAGAGGCTGTCCGCTTAATTCATGCTTTTAGGTCCATGGCACCAGGTAGGGCCGCTAATAGTAGAATCAATTGAATCAGTCAGTCCAGCACTAACAGAAAGCAATCAACAAAAAGCAATAGGCAAAACACACTAGGACAAAACATAGGCAAAACACACTAGGACTAGTCAGATCTTATTTTAAGTCAGAGCCACACTGTAGTTTGAGGGTGTGGAAATGCAACTGACGTTTTCTTCTTACCATGCCATCCCATCAAAACAGCGAACAGTTATGAGTTGCTTGAACAACTTAATAAGCCATTCAGCCTGAAGTATAACTGTGTTGCCGTGTTTGACAATCACGCCGAGGTCATGATAGAAATTCAACATAGTGGCAAACTCATCCTTGTTTTCAATGTAGCAATGTTTCTGGATAATGGTCTGAAGTTGTTCCATGTTTAAATGGTTCACTTTCTTGGCAACCAAAGCTTTGACAACCTTCTCGAAATTGAACCATCTGAAAGGGAAAGTGGTTTAAAGGGAAAGTGGTTTTTAAACTTTATAAGGCATAATAAGGTAAATGGAACGCAGAATAGCTGTTTTAATAAGTACCATAATTGAAATTACTTATATTTCTTAAACTCATCTTTTAATAAATCAACAACGAAACAAGTAAAGGTATTCATCTTTTTATTTGAAAAAAAAAAAAAATTTCTACAAGTGCGTTCTCCTTGAATTAAGACGAATTTGACAGGCCCTGTCAAATGAAGCACCTCCACATTGACCGTACTCCACATGAATCTCGGCTACATGTTGTGCTTTATGGACTTTTCGATGTTTTTTTATATTATTATTTGTTGCACGCTTCCTTGTGTTTCACAAATCACTGACACGCAAAAGTAAAACATCGTGCTACCACACTATCTTTTTTTAGGCATCAGTTGTTGATCTATGCCGCACTTCAGAAAACATCAAACTGCGACGGTTATTTAAGAAACGCTCGAATATTAATATTTTCCAGGAAGGATATCATTTGACGTTCCTACAAGAAAATTACATTTAATACCCTGTACAGACTGATTCTAGGCTACAATGTTTGATGAAATTGACTAGACTTTAATTTTAGATTTATTTGATTATTTTGTTTGTTCAATTCCTTACGTGAAAGAGGCGTAGGGGAAGGCTCGTCCCAAATATTAAGGACTACAATAGACCAAGTAAAAAACCTTCTAATGTAGTGTGGTCGTATAAACGACGGGGAGAGTGAAGTTTCAGGAAATACGCTTTAAATCCCACCTGCCCTCCTTACACCATAAAAAAATGACCAGAGCCTTACTATTGACTATCTCATATAACAGACATTTACGGTAACTTCGTTTTAGTTCATTTTTAAAAGAACTCCACGGGTTCGATCCCGTTACACCAACACATGATAGGTATTAGCGTTATCTGGGAGATCATAATACAACAACAACCCGCACTGGGGACTGCAGCCATCTCCTCCTCATGTAAGACCATGAGACCCTCAGTTTTGGTGCGAGTTTACTTCTACGTCTAACCACTTAAACATCTGTTATCAGAGTTCTATCACTTTCAGTCAACATCGTTATACATTAGAGAATACTGGAGAGTTATAAACCTTTTTTCAGAATTCTCCACTAAAAACTCACCGAATTGGTATCTCCTCTCCCATGTATGGTTCTTGTTTCAAAACTTCAATCATGCGTTTCTGGAGCGCACTAACTCCCCTATCAGACGATCCTTGAGTATTGTCAACCGAGAAGATAGGGCGGATTACATTTTGACTGTTTTCAGATATTTCCCTCTTAATCTGCAACTCGATCTTATCGATGTCTTCTTGATGTTGTTTTAAATTATCCGCATGTGTTCCTACAATGAACACTGGAGGGCGACAGTGGGGCTGATCTTTCACTGCCTTTTCTGATTCTGATGAACAAATGCTGCTGACTGAAACCAGCCAAGACAACAAATTTTCTATATTCGTTTCCTTATTTGGGTTAGCGAGAGGAATTTTCCGATCTCCCTGTTTAAAGCAAGGTTGAGCTAGGTCGTTTAATCCTTTGCTGAGATCGTAAACCAACATGTAAACTGCTCGTGGCGATAAAAAAACTGGGTAAGACGCATAGTACAGCTGTTGACCAGCAAAGTCCCACAGATCAAGGATCATGTGATGTTCAACTGCTGTTGCATCAGTCTGAAGGTTTAGACCTTTCAAAATTTGATCAAGATAATCCGTAAATTCTTCTGGGGGCAGAGTAGCGTCGATGTTTTATATCAACGCCTGGGGCTGCTGTTTTTGTCTCTTTTCTGGCATTCCTGGATGTTTCCTAAATTGTTTCAAGTGTTTAAATTGGTTAACATGTACCTTTTGGACAATTATGACAAAATATGTACAAAGGGGCGTTTTGCAAGCGACGGTCCTTCAGTTTGTCTCTCTCAGAAGCAAAAGGCCGATATTCTGTATCATCGTGTGTGTATATTGATACACGAGATATTTCAACATAATATCTGTTAGTACCAAACTGTACTGCAACTGTGTTCCCAAGTGAATCTTTCCCTGATAACGGCAGCCTTTCCAGTTTTTAAACATGTTTATAATTTCAAGACACACTTCGAGAGATCGCGCCAGATGGACAACTGGAAATAAGCAAAGCGCGAGGTACCCTTGGTAAGGTAACAATGGTAGACGAAGAGTTAAAACTATGTGAAGTTTACACACTGTAATTCATTATACTACTCATTACAGTAAATACACAAGGAATATAAAGCTCTGAATAAGCAAAAAATAGCTATTGGGGGTGGAGCACTGACCTGTAATGTTAATAGATAAGCACAAGATCCTCTCTTAATAGACATTAATTTGAAAATGGTTAGCTCCTATTTATAGCCACCAAACTCTCCATAATAACACGTCAAAATTTAAAGTCAAGTGTTAGATAAGAAGTTAGCGAGTTGCTTTTAAGGCACTTGCTTTGTAAATACACCTGGGTACATATTTGTACTTGTAAAAACACGACGTTTATTGTACAGCAGGCTATAACCGAATAAAATTCATGTGCTTGGAGTTAGCCAGAAAAAAATAACACTGTTACCCAAAATCTTTAACGTACACTATACGTAGGCTCATTAAGTTTTTGCTTTAAAGAAAAGCCACATTCCCGGCCACACAACACTTTGTTTTTCCCCTTCTTTTACTCCAAGATGAAAGAAAGTTTTCAGGAGATAGTTTCTTAAGAGACGACTCACAATCATTACAATTCCCACTTTCCTTTCGCCTTACTGTCATGGATAGTGAGGGCGCCTTGGTACAATAAAGCCTAATCTGCAATGATCAAACCTATAAGTCAGAAGAGGAGAGAGACTGTCCTACTGAATACCTGTTTTCGAAAAACATCGCAAAAAAGAGAAAGAAAAACAGAAAACTGGATCTGCAACAACGCTAAATATTTCTTTTCTTTTTACATTCTAGTCATCATATTTTCCGTTATCTTCTGATAAAGGCTAAGCCAAATTGAAAATTGAAACCCGGGCTGGTGTGTGTAAAAACTTCCCTTTCTTGAATTCTTTTGACGGAAGTTCATAATGAATTCAGGTTTAGAGAATTTTAGGCTACAACCAGAGAAACGTTATATTTACCTGATTCATCTGGGAGTTAACCACTGGCGGTTTTGACAATCGAGGTTCTCCAGGAGAGTTAAGACCAGACTACAAGTTTTGATAAAAATAAATACATTAGTCGTTTCAGGTTAACAGATTACTGACAAATTGCTTTTTCACATACATGTATACATATGTTGTGGTTCAAATTTATCCTTGGTTTAAATTTGATTCCCTTTGTCTTTGGGTATGGTAATGTATGATAATGAGTTTAAAACAAAGTTTAAACCAAGGATAAAAGTTGAACCACAACGTATATAAACGATCCAGTAATAGTGTCTGGTGATTTGCTATTCTAGTCCACAGCAGGTTATTTGCACTTGGATGAAGATAACCAAGCAAGTGAATTTTCAGCCTGTGTAGCTGGCAGGATTGTTATGCCCGGGGCACTTTCTTGCTGCCACGTAGAAGCTCGTGGAAGACGCCTCGAGGGAAAATCCAAACCTTCTAGCGACTTCGTCGCCAAAAAACTACAAAACTCGACAGCTACTTAGACCAGTGAAATTTTTATCATGTAGTCTGTTAAGGTATCAAGAATTTCTTATTGTTGTTGCTGATTTTCTTTTTTTTTTGTGCCTTCCTGGTTTGATTCGTTTGTATTTTAATTTAGGGTTGTTTTTTGGTCACTAACCTGACCCATTTTTTTCTGTTTGTTTGTATCTTTATCAGGATAATCCAGCTTTGAGTTTTTTGCTTTTTGTTTTTTTCCTTCTTTCTCGTAGTCGTAGTCGTCGACGCCGTTCTCTTCATCATCTTCTTCTTTGTCTTTACCTCGTTCCTGTATTTCTTTAGCCACCATTTTTGCAAGATCCAAGGCAAATTGAGACACACTTAGCTTTTTATCGGTGCGTTTCCAGTTCTTTACTTGATCGATGTCGACTTCGAATTTTGATGGATCAACTTCAATTCCATCGGTGCTGTCTTCCTCAGGGTCAAATGGTAGACCTAAGAACGATTTTTTTAAGCTTGTCTTGCCTGCTCGATCTTGACCGATCAGCATGATTCGAGCACGGTACACTTTAACCTTTCCAGTCTTCAGGGCATTTCGATAAGCAAGCTTTGCTTCTGGTCCTTGTGCCTTAATCTCTCTGGGAACTAAATAAAGAAAACATTTGATGCAGTTCTCAGTCCAAGAGATACAGATTTCCACTTTTCTTACCATCTTTTTATTGTTTGTTATTGTAACCATTGCATGAAAAGGTTAGGGAAAAACACAAAAGAAAGGAGGATAATTCTAGGGACAAATGCTGTTTTAGCAGATGTTTTTCTTGACATTCGTTTACATTCAATACCCAATTTCCCCATATTAAAGTATCCGTACGAAAAATCCCTCAAAAGAGTTGAAGCAGGTCTTAGGGACGGAGGATTAGAAACGCAAAAGTTATGGGGTGGAGGTTGGGGGGAAGGAGGGTGTAGATTGGGCGAAGTAAAAAACATTCGTGGAAGGGGAAAATTTCCCGAATTAGCCGCCTTGAAAAGATTTCCAGCATTGACCTACAAGTGTTTACAAACCGCCCCAATTTCAGAATGGGGTGCAAAACGTGTAAGGTGAACAAGATTTCTTCTTTTCTGGCCTCATCTGTGCAAGGCGTATTTTCTTCAAAACAACATTTTAAAACGGACAATTTTTGGGAGACGCTATACTGTGAAGCAGTTCGCTCTCCAGTACTGCGTGGTGTCTAGGGCCTCAGTACTGGAGCTTATTTTCCTACTTCTGCGACTTTATAAAGAAGGAAAGAACAAGAACTATCTGTTTGACGTTTTCAAATCCATTTTCCATTAAAAATGCCATATTCCAAAGAAAAACGTTGTTCGCCATTTGCACATCTCCCATAATACAACTTGTTTGCCCCAAAAATATTGCATGAGTATTGTCTTCAATTTCTACCCAAGGGTATTAAAAAAAAGTTATGCAAAATTTTATGGGGCAAACAAGGTTTATAATAATAATAATAATAATAATAATAATAATAATATTTATAGAGGGAGCCCAACTCGCCAAGGCGGTTTTCAGTGGGGCCCTCATGCATTAATCTAACTAATTAATTAATAATTACGAAAAAAGTAAAATATGTTTACAAGTAAAACATTTAAAAATTTAAAATCTTAAAATCGATTATACAAAAAAAAACATCAAGGTTTAAAATTAGCTGAGATCTTTTAAAAAAGTTTTTAACTTGGATTTAAAAATAGATAAAATATTACACTCTTTTAAATCATTTGGAAGGCTGTTCCAGTCTTTCGCGGCGTGAAAAATAAAAGTTTGTTTACCCCAGTTTGTTCTGGGTAGGGGTAAGCGAATATCATTGGAGCGTCTTGTATTATATGAATGAACAGCTTGACTTTTAGTAAAATTAAAGCTGAAATCGGTTTCTCCAATAAGACACTTGTGGATTGCAATGCAGCGATGAAAAAAAAACCTTCTTGTGGACAGCGACTTCAAATCTAGACTTTTCAGTGCTTCAGTTGACGAGCTTCGGGGTGGTTGCCCCAGCATAACTTTAGCAGCTTTATTCTGTAGAATCTGTAATTCTGACATGATGGTGTCATTGTTTTTGTCCCCATATAACGTCTCCGTAATCAAAAGAGGGAGGATTAGGGCATTGTACAAGGCAACTCTAGCTTGTAGCGGCAATAGATTCCTGATTCTCCTAATTAGGCCTATTCTCTGATTAATCTTCATGCTGATAGCATCGACGTGATCTGCCCAGGACATAGACTGTTGAAGCGTTACGCCTAGGTATTTGAATGATTGTGTTCTTTCAATGCTAGTGCCCTCTACTTTAACCGAAATGCCTTGAATACGATTCAGTTTCTGAGGACTTCCAAAGATAACAAAATTACATTTGGATATATTTAGTGTCAGGAGATTTCTAGAGAACCACTCAGACACTGTCCCCAAGTCAGCATTGATGTGATGTTCAAGATCACTGATGCTTTTGGATGAGTAATAGAGTACTGTATCGTCTGCATAAAGAATAATATCGCTTGCCAGGTGACAGTCCGGAAGATCATTCACGTAAATTAGAAACAATAAAGGTCCCAATATACTTCCTTGGGGTACTCCAATAGGCATTTCGGTAGATGCAGAGTGAGCATCTCCAACTGATGTAATTTGAGATCTGTTTGTGAGGTACGATCTAAACCACTGGGTGGTAGAGGTGGTAAGACCGATGTGCGTCAATTTTTGCAGCAGCAGGGGATGATCCACTGTATCGAAGGCCTTAGACAGGTCCAGAAAAACAGCACCTGTAAAGGAACCAGCGTCCATATTCTGGAGGATATTGTCTGTGAAATGAGATAGGGCTGTTCCAGTTGATAACTTCGGCCTGAACCCAAATTGCTTAGATGTAAGGATACCATTGTTTTTAAGATAAGCGTACAGTTGGGTGTGCACGGCTTTTTCTAGAATTTTACTGATCGTTGGCAGCACAGTAATGGGTCTGTAATTGTTAGCATCACAGCGATCACCTTTCTTGAATAACGCTGCCACTTTTCCAAATTTCCAAAGAGAAGGAAAGGTGCGAGTTTCCAGGGAAAGATTAAATAATCTAGTAAGACTGGCACTGATTACTGAGGCTGAATCTTTCAGTAGACGAGCACTGATATTATCTAGGCCAATGGCTTTATTGGTTTTGAGCTGCTTAAGCTGACGAAGAACGAAGTCTTCCGTAATTGGCTCGAAAGCAAATTCATGGGGTAGATTCGAGTTTACCGGAGGCGCCGAGTACATGTGGGATCCACAAGACTTGAGCTTTTGCGCCAATTTAGTTCAATTGTTGAAAAGTGTTCATTCAGAATCTTGGCGATAGATTTATTGCTGGAGTATTGAACACCGTCGGCCTCAATGCAGGAGATGGGAGTTCTTTCTTTGCGAGATGTTATGTCGTTTAGAGTTTTCCATAATGCACTTGGATTAGATTTGTTTTCGGTAATAAGCTTAGAATAGTATTCCGATTTACATCTCTTTGTCTCCTTATTTACGTAGTTCTTAAGTTCCTTATAGCGTGACCAATGATTGGCAGACTTTGTTTTCAGGGCTTTACGATGGTAATAATCTCGTTGGTGCATGGCTTCAGATAGCTGTGCGTTTATCCAGGGAGAACGGACCCCTTTAATTCTTGATTTCCTCATCGGAGCATGACTATCGGCAACATGAGTAAAAATGGGTAACCTGAGATCATGCCCAGTTTTAGCAGCTTCCATACATTCTCTCTTACGTGGTCGCGCTTCGGCTTTCCCGCCAGCAGGCCAAAATTTTATTTACCAAGCAAAACGAAAACAGAGCCTGATTTCAGGTTTATATTATGGGAGATGTGCAAATCGCGAGTGAACGCAGTTCTTTTTAATGTCAGAGCCCCACCCAGAATGTTGGAAATTTCATTTCCGAGGATCTATTTTGAAAGCGGTCTCATTGGAAGCCTCCACTTATCGGAAAAAAATTGCTGACATTGTCGTGTCTTGTAATTTTAATTGACCACTCCAAAAACATAACAGACCATAGAGAAACTGAAAACAATGCTTATGTAAAAAATTTGGGGGTGACAAACAAAGAGCATTATAGTATGTTATGGTATTTTTTGGAGAGGTCAATTACAAAACATCAAGTATCTGCATGTAAAAAATAGCCTTTACAGTAAGCTATCTGTGACTTTTTAAAAAAAATTTTTGAATAAAAAGTGAAATTACACGTATATGTCCAAACAAAATTCGTGCCAAGGATTTCACCAAAAAAAGAAAACTATATAGTTACTTGACCTTACTTGGCCGAAACAAAATTCCCGCATAAAAAACCACAACCCCCAATTACTTTTCTAATGGTCCACCCCTTGCTAACATTAAAGCCACAGACAAACACTAGAAAATATCAACTTAAACACAGCTTTATAATTACCTTTATCGTAAGTGTTTTACGAATATTGAATATGACGTATAATGTTTTTGGAAAAAGATACAAGCCCATACATTTTTCATACATAGCATTTTTGCATGATACAAAAACATCTTTGAAACGAAAACTAAAATCCAAATGATTTGTTTCTTGCCTCACTGCTTTTTTTTGCTCTCCAGCAAGGGTCTCTTTTAACCATGTTACTGGTTTACAATCTTTTCTAAAAGAATCACAGCTCTTTTTTTCCGGCGCATGCAGAATATTCTTATTTTTCTGCTGATGTTAGGCTGAATAATATTCTTGTGAATATTATTATGAAAAGTTCGATTTTCATTCATCAGTTTCTTGTAATAAAACAATAATTATATGATAAGCAGTAACTACGAAGACGGAGAAGCTACTCAAGCGTAAGGTGGTGTTTTTGTTGTACGTTTGTTAGGATTGCAGGGATTAAGTGAACGTTAAGACTTCAACATACCTTTATCTCTCCGCCGCACTTTGTGCCTTTCTAGGTTCTTTCTCTTCCGTGAATACTCTTCAACAACTAGATGTAAAAAACAACGGATGATTTAATTTTGTGTTCTTAAGTTTTTAAAAATATAGCAATTACTATTTGATTAACAGTAACTACTAGGACACAGACATCTATTCAAGCGTAGGGGGGTATGAAAGGGCGGCGCAGTGGTGAGAGGGGCTCCCAGGTGGTTTCCGTACGGGTAAGAACATCCGGGGACTACTGACGGGTGCGTGACTGCAGATGTAATAGGACCACTAATAAACGAATCGCCTGGACTTGCACTTTGCGGCTGCGGTGCCAGCAGCCGGGCTCTCATGCGGTTTCCGTACGGGTATGAATATCTGGGGATTACTGGCGGGTACGTGACTGAAGACGTGAGAGGACCACTGAGATACGAATCACCTGGACTCGTGCTTTGCGGCTCCGGCTGCGCCTGCAGTGGGGCTGTCATGCGGTTTCCAGGGATTACTGGTGAGTGTGTCACTGAAGACGTAACAGGAACACTAAATTGAAGATGCGGATAACTTGGACTTGCACTTTGCGAATGAAATCCATACTGCGGGGATCTCAGCGTTTCATGACGGAAGACACTTTCTAATTAACTGTGGAGTGGGTATGGGTTGATAGGCCAGGACCAATGAGATATGGATCATCTGACATCGTACTTTGTGGTTGCCATCCATGAGGAAGGGTTCCTTGCATACCATATGTCACGTGGGGGAAGAAATCTCGGGATTCCCTGCGGGTAAGTGACTGCAGAACCTTCGAGATTCAGATCACCCGGCATTGTATTTCGGGGCTGAACTCTCTGTTGTGGTGGATCCTGCATTCCACTCAGGGGAAGATATCCAGGGTGAACCGGAGGAGTAAAACCATCTGTAGAAATGCCAGAACTGCGGGGATACGGGTATCCCGGAAATATACTTCGCGGTTGCCATGCCTGCAATGGTGATTCTAGCACTCTGTAACGGAGGGGATGTTCACTGAAGGGTGCCAGGCTGTGGCTGGAGAAATACGACGTAGGAATGGCAGCTAAGATCCCATGAGTTAACATAAAGGTACAGTGTAAACGACTGGTTTCACACTTGTGGTCTTTAAGTAGATTTCTCCTTTTCTAGCATTATACGCCTTCTTAGGTTATTATACAATATTAGGAATTGAAGCATGGCTCACATGAAGTAAACATAAGAAAATGTCCAGTTTGGAGATTTTAGAAGACAGACTGTAGAAGAAAAGTGCCTTCAGCCCCAGTAGTCCAGGCTGGGTTGTTCCGGAGCTCAGCAGTTAACATAACTCAGGGTTAGTGCAAAATTTGGAATTCAGATATGAGAGAGCAAAAAGCAGATTCAGTTTAATTCTTTTTGTCTACAATTTGATGATAGGATACTCTTAAAAGAATAGAGAAAATTATCTGAAAAAGGCTTTTGAATTAAAGAAAAAGAATTAACTGGGTTAAAAAGCGGTAATCGGCCTTCGAACATTTGGGCACAGAAGGTAAATAATGCTATTCTACTGGATATCGCACTACCTAATGCATATAGGTGTCGGTTTCTCAAATACTTATCCTCTGGTAAGTGACATTTCCGGTGGATAGCGCTATCCAACTATTTAAAAAAACAAACTGGGGCCTGTTTGTGTGTATTGTAGTAAGGACAACAGGACCGTTTAACACAAGTTGTAGCACTACGTAGTCCTGTACATTGTCTTATTGGTACTCGAGAGTCAGTCATGGCGTTACTAGTCTAGTAAATTGCAGAATTTTGTTTTCCTTGTAACACGGATGGAAACCTTACCAGCAGAATGGAGAGGTGCTGGAACTGGTCCTGCGGTTCCAGGATCGTGTGACGGCACGTCCTGAGTATTGAGGCGAGTGCTCCTCTGAAAACGAGACCAAAGGCAGAATAATCAATATCGGTATAGAACCAAAGTAAACGTGTGATCTCCTGCTAACAATCATTTGACAGTTTTAAGATCACTCAGCTAAACGTATGATCTGGGAAATAGCCTGCAGACCCTTTCTGTCTCAAGTTGGCTCACTAAAATGGATACCAACTCTAATTGTCCGTCTCAGAGTGGTGCCCGCGTCGTATTAGTATATAGAGTTTAGTTACAGTAGCATGATTGGAAAACTCGGCAGAGAAGAGACCAGCACCCGGTGTCCGTCTTACCGGCAGAGTTTATAGTCTAACAGAGAGGTTAGTTACAGGGTTGTACGACCAGTTCTAACACGTTTATAGCCCATCGAATTTCAATAACTATTAACACGTTAGTTACTAAGAAGGCGCCTGATCCATGAAATCTCTGTCGGCAAATATAAATCCTAGCCAATGTTTAATAACAATTTCGTTAATACAACCTCATTACCTCATTAACAGACAAACAACCTACCTCAGGCTCGACCTGTGTGACTGTAGACAAGCTAGAACCTCTGAAAAGGTACGAATCGATACCCAAGGATCCTCCAGGCGTAGAGCTGGTGGACGGGGCACTGTGGTGATAGGTGTAGATATCAGGGGAGGAGTAATTCTGTGGATACTGAACGTTATGAACGGGGTTACCACCGAGGGGTGCAGCAGGTGTCAGACCGTGATTGGATCCATGCGCTGTAGGAATGGACGGCTCTGCTAACAATGGATCAACTAAAGGAAGAAATAAGGATCCCACGTGATATGATGGTATAAAGGAAACCATTGATTTCAGACTGATATTTAGACTTCTAGAACATTTATCCTTTCTTAATGTTATGCCCCCTCGTTTTACTACGTAAGTTTAGATAATTAGTGCAAACAACGCTCACTTTAGTTAACAACAGAAAATATCTCGATCGGAACAGGAGGAGGTGGCGTCTTTACACAGGCCACGACTTCCTAAAAATAAAGTCACAGACTTCCATTCAATCAGAGGTTAATTTGTGATGCAGGTACACTTAATTGAGGGTCCCAATGGGGTTAACCGATAGGCGTAAAACGGCCAAAAATTTAGTCGATAGCGGTAAAAATTGACAAATTTTAACCGTTAGCCGTAAATAGGGTAAGAAAAGAGTTAACCGTAAAAGAAATTGTTCCCTAGATTTGCTACTTTTAAGGAAGGTACTAAACTCACTTATGGTTGCGTTTTTTATTTCCCGGCTAGTGTGACTCCGTACGCACGTTAGGCGAAGCACCTTTTAGGTGTTAACCAAGACCTAGGCTCCATTTCCGGCGCTCTCTCGGGGAACTATTTTTTTTCCATAGCGAAAGTGTGGCTTCTTGCTGGGGATTAATATTTGCAATTTTCAGGAGGTCGTGCCCTCGAAACACAAGTGAAACAACACGCAGAGATGTCACTGCTGTAAAACACGTTGCCGATAAACAACATTTCCCTATTTTTCTCTGACGCTACGGTAGACATTGCCATGCCTAGTCCCTGTACGGCGTCTTCCCACGCAATCTCGGTCAAGGCATTACGGTGGCGAACTCGCTCGGACCAAGTGACCCGAAACGCATTAGCCTTGCGGAATAATACGGCCTACGGACAAGGCAACGGCAGACAGTCGTTCCGTACAATCCTTCGCTATCATTAAAAACACTGGACACGGGAATTTTGTTATTGGCCGTTTTCACACTATAGCTAGAAATGGATCATCCGTCTGAGACTAGCCTGTGTACAGTCGCGCCCTCCCCACAGACACCCATTCTCCGATTTTTTCTGGGGGGAGGGGACGGCTATACACAGGCTAACTGAAACGGATAATCCCGTCTTCGAAAGTCAGGCGAATTGTTCATTCAAAATTAAAACTATTCCATTTTCAAATTAAGACGTATTACCTATCTGACGCGAATCATCAAACGGATAACCCGTCTCACACGAATAATCCTTCTCTAGTGTGAAAACGGCCATTTCTGTTATAATGAATGTCGCGCCCCGGCCTTGAGTTGGGCGTTCGCGTGTCTGCTTTTGCTTTTTCACAAAGATTATTTTTAAATTGACTATTGACATTTCTATGTGTAAAATAATATTAGAAGTGGAATACTTTATAAAAAGTATGATCTATCAAATGTTAGAATTTTTCAAAAGAATAGCTTATTTCATCTCGAGATGATCCAAAGACCTTCATTTTGATTTAAAGATACAAAAAAATACAGTGAAACAAAGAAACAAAAAAAAACGAAAGAAGTTAATTTTAAACTTTTTCGTTAACCGTAACTGAAAAAAAATAACCGATAGCCGTAAAAGAGCCAAAATTTTAGCCGATAACCGTAAATGCCACCACCCCATTTAGACCCTCTTAATTGGCCGCTCTCCGGACTTTCAACAAACGGTTTTCGACTGATTGATAGCGGGTTTCTGGCAAGGCACAAAATTATAGAAACGTCTGTTACAAACCATAAGACACAGGTTTTCACTCATTCGGAAGTTGATAAAAAGGTTCTGCATCTACGCCTGCTGTCCAATCTCACAGGATTTTAAACGAACTGACCTTCGATTTTGACGGAACAAAGAAATTCGCATTCTGTTATGATGTATGGATTTTAATGAAACGTTGTATCACAATAAGCTCACCCGCTTTGGTGCCTTGTTCTGTTTCCCCCTTTTTTTTTTTGTTTTCGCTGAGGTTCGACCATTTCTATTAGTAAAAAAAAAAAAAAAAAACAGCGAGGACGGTCATTACTTTCCAACAGGAGAGAATTGTTTCTGAGTACAGTCGAACCTCTCTACCTTGGGGACAGAAGAAAGTGGCCATTGCAAAGAGGTGGCCGTTGTAGAGAGGTTAAAAAAAGAGTGAATGTATGGACTGTCCGCCAAGAAAAAAAATGGCCGTTGTGGATAGGTGGCCGTTAGTGAAGGTTCGATTGTATTCCGAAATAGTAGCGAGTGTTTAATCCAAATTAATAGAACACTACATAATTTAAACCTCACATCAACAAATAGGGAAAAACAAAATGAGTTTTCGTCTTTGCAGTCAAAGGCTGTCACAACAAAATGGACTTTAAAGGACTAAATAAAGTCTCTCCTTTCTGTTATCAACAATAGTCCAATCTCCACTAACGGTCACCTCTCTACAATGGCCTTTTTTTTTTTCGGCGGACAGTCCGTACGTTCACTCTCGTTTCAGCCTCTGTACAACGGCCATTTTTTTCTGTCCCCCAGGTGGTCATTGTAGAGCGGTTCAACTGTATAATATGGATTTAAATGACCTTTAGTATACCGTCAGTCATCTCCTGCACTTTCCGCTTTTTTCCTGCTTTCTGTTTTCTTCCAGGGGATTCTTCTGTGATCATAAAATCAATTTTGTATGACTCAGTTTCTAAGAATTCTTTGAGAAGCAGACAAATAGTGAAGCGCTGTTAATACGCATGCCAAAGTGACGTGGCACAGTGTCCGTATTAAGCGCGGAATGGAAAACCTTGGTTATACTGTAAGATCGTATGTAAATTTGCCTTTTTTTCTTAATTATTGTTTACAACCAACCTTGTAAGGCAACTTGTTCATCATACCCTTTGGAAGATGAGCTGGGAAGATTCAACTCCTGCAATCGAGTAAATAGTGCCATGTAGTTCGACTGATTATATATGTAAGCTTTTGAGGACTGACCAATCGACTGACTGACGCGTCACTAAATTATACGACTTAAAAGTAGTCATTTAATTATAGACCCAAAGTTAAACTAAAATGAAATGTTAATGACAACTAATAGTGCTCAGCACTCGACGAAATTTCCTTTCTACAACACCCTTCCGCAACGTTTTCAAAATTCGTGAGAGTCGTTAAAACTTTTAGACTTTTAGACCAAAAGTAGCTCAAGCATGCCCCAGAAACAAATACGCCGACGCTCTCTTAAAGGTAACATATACATCCACTAACGACACGTGACTGGTCTAATAAAACAGCGGACAGACAACCTGGAAAACCTTCCGGTGTTAGTTCACTCGGCACCGGAAGAATTTTCATCCCGTTAAAAATCCGTGCGTTTAGGTATTAAATTCACACAGAACCACAAAAATCAGACGCTCAGCCGTTCAAATTTCCGTGTGAACAGAGTGAAAATATTGAACGGTTCCGTGTCAACGAAGTGTCCGGTCAAAAATTTCAACCTGTCGAAACCTTCGTTCATGATGAGAATAAACACTGAACAAAGTCCTCCGACCACGAAAGTAAAGGTACGACCTTGAGCTCTGACACTCTTGGGGCTAGCAATGCTCAAGAACATTCCTATCAACAACTTTGTTATTGAGTAAACGACTGATCCATAAAGTCGTTCTCAATAACCCTTAACCTAGTTTCAAACTAATTAATATACAAGAACAGCAATATGAATCCGGCCCATCGCTCTCGTCCGGCATAATTACCTCATCAACGGGCTCGTCCTGTGTGACTGTAGAAGGGCCAGGACCACTGATGAGATGCGGATCGGTAGACAAGGATTCTCCAGGTGTAACGATGGTGGATGGGGCACTGTGATGATGGGTGTGGATATCTGGTGAGGAAAAATGCTCTGAATACTGAACTTGAGGTACCAGACCGTGGCTGGATCCATGCGCTGTAGGAATAGATGCCTCTGTTAAGATCGGTTCAGCTGTTAAGGGAAAAGAAGGTAGAAATTAGCATCCCACGAGTAGGAATGGACGGCCCTGCTAACATTGGATCAGCTAAAGGAAGAAATAAGGATCCCACGTCACATGATGGTATATAAAGGAAACCATCGATTTCTGACTGATAGACTTCTAGAACATTTATCCTTTCTTAATGTTATGCCCCCTCGTTTTACTACGTAAGTTTAAATGATCATTAGTGCAAACATCGCTCACTTTAGGTAACACCGGAAAATGTCTACATCGGAAGAGGATCTTTTCCTTTTAAACTTCCTCAGTGACTGTTCTAACATACTTTTCGTTTCTGTATATGGCAGCAAGGCCAGGTGCGTTAAATGCTTAGGCCGGGTAGTGATGCGTAGAGAACCTTTTTGGTATATAAACAAACTAATGAATAAACATAGTCCTTGACGTCCAATGTCTTTCATCAAAATTACGGACAGAGTGTGACAACAGCAACTTGTCGCACGTCTACACCGCAATTATTCAAAAGAAGGCAATCTCACAAACCAAAACTGACTTTTGAGCGCAACGAACTTATGTACAACTTCTTATTAGTGCTCAGGGCGTTAATCGTCAACAGGTTTTGTTACATCTGTCACTGATCTGTGATTGGGAAGGCAGGGAACTGGGGGGCAAGGGGGGCTGGGGGACAAGAAACCTTACCGGTAGGATCAGGAGGCGCTGAAAATGTTCTTCCCACGGTGTTTTGATCGTCAGTGGGGAATGGTGAGTCGTGAATACTGAGGGGAGTCTCTGCAGGAATCTGTGCCAGTAGTAAAAGAAAACAAGAGTTGATCAGAGCCTGTTCAAGGCTTTCAGATAGTGGAGAGTGACATTTTCCACTATCTGAACGCCTCAAACAGGCTAAGAGTTGATGAGCCAATAAGATGGTTGAGCAAAAAGAGGCTCTTCTGTTAGTAATGAAAACAACACTATACAAACACAGAACCTCAGTCTACTGTTGACTGTTTTGTTCCAAGCCTCAACCTCCATGTTTGCTTAAAATGCGTAAAACTGCTCTACTACAGCGACAGCGGTGAAATTTGCAAGTCAATAAGCATCTCAAAGATCCACATTTTCTTCCGGCTTGTATAAACTTCACGTACGAAAATAAGCAAGTTTTTTCAAAGTGCACGATTAAATCGACTTCCCGAACGGTAAAAAACGTATGAAGAAAACTTCAGGTTGTTTCCAAAACCAGAGGTATTTCCAAAACGGATTGCAGTCCGTTGCAGTATTGTTCGGAGTGTAACTTCCACAACTAAAAGCCATCGTTGTAAGAGAACCGTCGGTTTCGGTATGGTTTAGCTCACTTCTTTTAAGAAGTGAGCTAAGAGCCTAAGCCCACAGAAATAACTTGTTACTGTTAGTAAGACTTATATTCAACTGCACTGTTTTGATTTGACTCAGTTTTTATGAAATCGCGACTAGAAAAAAAAAAACCAGCCTGAAACTACTATGATACAAAACATATTTCCTGTTCCCTCAGTTTCAGTTTATAATAAGTGAACTCCTGAAAAGCTGAAGAAAAACCATACGTTTTTAAACGGAATGTTTTTTTTCCAGTTTTTTTTCCCCAAGAAATAACCAAACTCAGGAAATATTATACTCGATTTTCTTTTGCCAAAGTTGATGACCAACCTGTTGCTTTTGCGTCTGTGATTCATTTGATGAGTGAGAAAAGAGACTGGGGTACTCCTTTTTCCAAAAGTCTTCTGATGGCCATTCATGTTCTGGCTTGGGGTTCCCTTTACGATCCTACAACAAATCACAAAATAACACTAGCACCATTCAACTTTTAAAGCAACGTTTAAAAGATCAAAAGTGTAGTCTACATTTTAACACCTTTCTTTAAGTGATAAGCAATTAAAGGGTAAAAATAACCCCAGGGGTTGACTACTATGTGATGGGGACGTGAATACTCATCGGAAAACTAGAATTAATCCTTAACCCTTTAAGCCCCAATATCAAGAAAACAAATCCTCCACACTAGTGTCCATACATTGCCTTATAGAATTAGTTGAGAGAACTTGATAAAAGATCAAAGTACGCAGTCTGCTTTGTTCATGAGTTTATTACTTCTCCTAACCTTTTCTTTTGATGATGTTTTGATATTGTTAAGAGAAAATTCATGTTGATCACTCTTGGGACTTTAAGACCAATCTGAGTAAAGCTCAAGCTGATTTCACCCTGTTGTAAACAAGATAGGACTGGGCCATAGCTCGAAAACACGTGATCTAAATAGGCGTTAGAGATTATGTACTCGGATCATTCAATCAATTCAGTGTTTTTCTTTTCTCTAGTTCGGAACGGTTTACAGTATCTCGGAAAGGATCTCAAGTTTTAGGAGTCAGTTTTGTACGGAAAATTATCTATTATCAGAATAAAGAGTATGGTCATTTCAGCACACCCCGAAAAGAGGTCATTTCTACAACACATAGACAAAGTAGTACTAAAAACATTTCTGCTTGCGACAAAGACGTTTTTCTTCTTTAATTTAGTTAAAGTCAGGACTAAACAAGAGATTTTGCTTATTTTGCAATCCGTTCCGAGACCTTATTTAGTTCAAAGTCTTAAAATCCGCATGCCCTAAACAGAAATTTCGTCCTGAATGGTCTTACGAGTACCGCTGCGCTAAAAAACGTTCTAGTCGGAGTGTCTAAAAATTTTAAAAGGCTGCTTTTCACTAGCGACAGAGTCGGAGTCGGAGTCGTAATCAGAAGCGCAGAGCGTGTGTTCGATTCCGCTTAAGTTCCGCTTATGATCTAGTGAAAACCAGATTGTCAGAGTCGGAAGCAGAAGCGTAAGAACCAAACAAATCACAACGCGTGAGAACGTGCATCGGGATTGGTTTATCCTGGTGCTTCTGCTTCCGATTCCGACAACCTGGTTTTCACTAGATCATAAGCGGAACGTAAGCGGAGTCGGAAGAAATGGAAACGCTCTAATTCTTCTGACTGCGATTCCGGCGCTTTTATGACTCCGCTTATAACCTGAAATAAGGCCCAATTTTAGCAGTTCTCATGCATCCTCTCTAACGGCTACCGCTAAAAAAAACCGCCTTACCCGCACGAATGTAAACTACGAGTAGTCCCCCATTTTTCCTCAGAGATAGTAGAGCAAGCGAGAAAAGGTGTAATTTTCAAAGCGAAACGAAACCAGAGCCTGATCTCAGGTTACTCCGCTTACGACTCCGATTTTTGATTTTCACTAGGTCATAAGCGATCTTACGACTCCAGCTCCGACTCTGTCGCTAGTGTAAACCAGCCTTTAGGTTGCTGCGCAAGACGTTCCTGATTGTTCCTTGTCAACCCCAAATTTCCGAATTTTTGGCCGTTTAATAGTGATTAGAAATTACCTTCACAGAAAAACCAAGGGCCTCACGAACTAAAGTTCTGTTGAAAATACGAAAAAGAGGGGAAAACGACAAAACCAACAAAAAATACATCTGACTTCTTGGACGCACCTCTAAAAGTGCTCGCGGCTTAAAGACCACATTCTACTTTTCAACCCCTAAAATTTGCATGCAAGACTTTCAAAACAGCACAATCAAATAATATACTCTAAAAATGTGCGAATTGTTGAAACCTTGGAGCCCTTTCTTCTATTAACTCTTGGTCTGATAAAATTCTCACAGATCGGTTTTTCCTTAGTGGGGGTTGGGAGGGAAGGTGCAAAAAAACCTGCGTCTCGTCTGAAGAAACGATTGCTACGCTGCCAAACGAAAGGCGGGAAAATTCTACCACGTGGGTAGTTATATAACCAATCAGCTGTCGCACGTCACAAGCCTTCTGTCACGCCACTTTGAATGACAGTTTGTTGATTTTGTAGTTTGTTTTTCACTTCAGTTGAGTTTGCTCATCAAAGAAAACTTTCAACGCAAAAATACTCAAGATCGACTCAAAAAGAATGAGAAAATACCGTAAAACGCCAGTTAAGAGGAAAATTCGTCTCATGTACTCAGGAATTTGACAAAGGATTTGTGCAAGCTAAAGGAAACTACATTTATGAACTTCAACTCATTCATACAAGACACAAAGTGACGCAGGATTTGTGGTGTTCGTCGTAAAACTGGAAAACAAGTAACAGACAAAAATAGACAGCTTGTACCATAGAGGAGTGCTTTACCTATGATTAAATGTATGGTGTTAAATTTCAACCAAAGTGTCTCAGAGGAATTATATTTTTTGTGGAACGCTATCTCAAAAACCTACGCTACAGTGAGATTATTTACGGGAGGACAAGCATTTACCGAAACGCAAGGGACATTCAAACAAAAGGACAGCTCTAAAAAGACTTCTTCGTTTTCTGGACTCTCAAAGAAACTTTACTTGAGTTTTGCTGATTTTACGAAAACCTTAGCGATAAAAGTGAAACTGTAAGTGGTTAACTTTTTTTCTCTTGATTTTTGCAAATTTTGTTTGTTTGAATTGAACATGAACAGAACATTTTTTGACTTTATGCTTGTTATTCATCATTTTATGAAAAGTAATGAATTAAAATTGATTGAGAAATTAATACTATGGAATTTTTGTGTTAATACATAAATCACAAGTTTGTTAAGTGAGCTCATATCGAGTTGAACCAGACTCAAAGAGAAATTTCATATCTGCTCGCTGATCCATTATTTTGCACAGTGAAAACACCTTCAGATTAATTTACTTGTTCTCGGTTAAAACATTTTTTTGGATTTAGTTTAATCAATTGAAAGGAATGAATTTGAAATGATACTTTGAATCTGCTAAAGTTTGTGATTTGTTTTCAAAAGTAAATCTCGTGTTTTGTCGAGTATAAAAATGACAAAGAAAGGAAAATGGCGAAAGGCAAGAGCTGAGTAGAAATAAAATGTAAACAAAGAATAAAGAAACAAATTGCGATAAAATTGGAAAACTTACGTGGTAAAATGACGGCAGTTCAGTGATGTTGCCGCGCTGCTTGATGGCTGATGACAGATCCATCACCTGCTGTGGAGTCATCTTCACTCCTTTAAGCCACAGTTTCTCCAGGTGAGGAGCGCAGCTGAGATGTTTAATCAAGCTGTCTACTCCTGCACCCAGAAGAGGATTGTCTGTCATGTCGAGCCACTTCAAGTTTGGAGCTTTTTTAAATACATTGTTCATGAACAACTCCACAGCAGGTGATGATGTTATATTGATACGCCGGAGTGTTAATATCTTCAGTTTGTGTGTTACTTGGATGCTTCTCATCAGAGACTCTGTTACCTCAGCATCAAACACTTCACCGTGATTACCCCAAACAATTATCTCGTGTGGAGCGGTGATAAACGGCATCATCTCAATCATCAGTTCCACTTCTGACCTGATCACCCACCAAGCTTGAATCCACCGAACCCTGGAGAGACCATGACGCTTTGAACAACAGCTGTTGCTGCTCTCTTCACTTGACTCATCACCATTCATCTTTGTCTTCTTTGTTGTCTCTTGTTTACTAGCAAGCGCCTTAATTATATAAAAAGGTTGAGCAATTTTATCTAAATAAAGGTGAGTGTTGTTTTCTTCTTTCTTTAAAAAAAAAAAATCGATGCTACGCCATGTTGAGTTACTTAAAAATTCTGATCCTTTCTTTTCTCCTGCAGAGCTAACAATAACTGCGTTTAACTGTTGTAATAAAATTATAAAATTACTATAGTCCTGCTCTGTATACCCTTCCGCATTATTGTCATTAAAAAAAACGTAGTTGGGTGTTTCGGTAGTTTGAAGGAATTTTTCCTGTACGATAACATTTAGCTGCTTTGCATTTATTACAAGAACTCCTCCGAAAGAGGAAAGAAATGTAGGAAAGAGGTTTTTTCTTGTCTCAGCTGAGCAGTAGAAAAATAACTGATTACAAAGATTAATAAAATCTGTTTGTTCTTCTGACAAGTCATTCTTTGACGGTGTTTCGTTGTCGAAGCGAAACTCTGTCAGTTCTTCTTTCTTCGCCGCCATTCCAAGTTTAATCAGAATGTCGCGCGCGGCTTCTTCTGACAACTCACCAGCAAATTTGAGCGCTTCATTTATTTTAAAGATCTTTTCAACTGAGTCCACTTTTGACAGGGAATTGGTGCCTCTAGCCTTTTCAGATGTCAGCTCTTCTTTCAGGAAATTCCCAGCCAGGTATTCTTGAACGGATTTGTGAATAAAGTACACGCCTTTTTCACGATTCAAACTCGCCATATTTAAAACCTGAAAAAGGCCGACTTCAATCAGCCTCTCGATCAAACTGTAGCCAGCAGGTAACTGACTAACAGGGAAATAAAGCTGGCCTTGCAAAAGGGCTTCAAAGGCCAAGCGTCCTAATGCGTATAATTCATCTGAGTAATCTTTGGCAGAAACCGATTCAGCAGACTGTTTTTCACACATGTGATCAAACATGGTCGTCATGAACTGGGCGAAGATGTCTGCGCGTTCTTTTGGTAGTTCGTCACGTGTTGTTTTTGTCCAGAGCAAGCACAACATTAAGAGCAGTAGGGGAATTTGTGCTAGTTCACTTAGGTTGTGCTGCCATAAGTACTTAAAAAAATCTGTAATATCTTTATCATCTTTCAAAAATCTACGAGCGAACTCTTTTTGGCGCTGATAATTAAAGCCGTCAATTTTGAATTGAGCATCACTATACTTTCTCAACGTCTCAGCTTTCATTTCCCGTGAAGTAATTACAACAGAACAACCTCTTAATCGACTTTTTTTCCAGATTTTGAAGACAGGCGACTCGTTTTTTGAACTGTAAACATATTCATCGTAGCCGTCCAAGATAAGCAAGACTTTTTCTTGATGGCGACAAATGTAATCATACAGGTTGTGTGCGGAAATTGCACCATTACTATCCAGCACTTCAGAAGCCCTCAAAATGGACGGAACATCTTGGAGATTACTAACGTCACGTAATCTCACCAGAAGGACAAGATCAAATGCTCCTAATGTTTCTGAATATCTCTGCTGGGACCAGTCAAAAGTTGCTTTCTTCGTGAAAACAGTCTTGCCGATTCCTAGGTGACAATAACAACAAACTGTTAATACGTCTTCAAAACATTGGTTTACTTTTATCATGTGAAGTCACGTGAAGTCGAATGCAAAATATTGAAATGTGAATTTATAATTGTCATAAAAATTTAGGATAATTTATTTATTTTATTTTATTTTATTTTATTTTTTACGGAATATTTATGTTTAAACTTTTTAAACCAATGCAGAGTGAACAACATATGGGTGGCATTTGCCTCTTAAGTTATGCCAAAAAGAAGTTTCGCTTCCTGCCTCGAAGGAGGCATTTTGGAATTCTTAGCTTTGATTAAAGACAAAAGTTTCATCGATAATGGTATCTCATTTACATATTCAAAATAATTCATGATAAAGACAATGAAACTGAAACCTTCATACACAGACTATTTTTAAAAATCATGTAGTAGATGAGTGCCAGCACTTAGGAAAGTGTTCCCAATTAGCTAACTGTTAAGCTTAATACATTGACACTAAAATAAAGTTATTATTATTATTATTATTATTATTTGTTGTTGTTGTTATTATTATTATTATTATTATTAGGGCCAGGTTGTTCAAAGCTAGGTTAAGATAACCCAGAGTTAGTGTGAAACTTGAATTCAGAAATGAATTAAGCTTGAAAAGCAAAGTCAGTTTAATCCTTTTTGTCTACAATTTGATGATTAGATACTCTAAAAAAATAGAGAAAATTATCCAAGAAAATGCTTTTGTTAAAAAGAAAAAGAAACCCAAGTTAAAATTTATTCCCAGGTTTGTACTATGGCTTTCAACGAACTGAGCCAAACTGCCAGTGACCATTAGTCTATTGTGAAGGTTGTGGTACAATTTTATCCTCGGAAGATTTTTTTTTAGTTTATCCTTTTAGTATACATTTAATAAACTTGAATTTCAGATTAATTAAGTCACAATATTATTACCATTTTCACAACATTAACTGGAGTCTACAGTGTATGTTCTGATTGCTCTAAAGTCAATTAAATACATTGTTTATTATCAGACTGGTTACCGGTAACAGAAAAACTTTGTTTTAACTTTTAATTTATTTACAATAGCAACAAACCAAACTTTTCATTGGGTTTGACAGCATGGTAAAAAATTACCCCACTTGGAATGTACATAATGTCAGCAAAAACTCGAGAAACCTGCACATCGCCAGCTGATATATCACTGGATTAATTATACCAGTAGAACAATGGGTTCCTGTGTTCTTGTTTTTTGCTAGCCTGCGTAGCATGGCAGTTTTGGTTGGACCCAGAAAGTAATAACGGCGGGCAAGGGCAGAGAATAGTTATTATCCTTTTAAATTAAAACAATTCTTACTCAATTCACTCACTTACCTGGCTGTCCATAAACCAAAATTCGCTTTCGTGCAGGACGAGGGCCTTGACTGCCAAAAATCTCAGTGTAGTGGTTAAGTTTTTCTTGTGTTACTCCACTGGGTGTCCTGTGATCCTTGACCCAAGACAAGTCTGTGTAGATCTCATCAATATCAACAGCAGAGTTCTGGTCCCATGGAATGACTTTGACCTTGCTACTGGTTTCATAAAGTGATTGCAGTTGTTTCTTGCACTCCTCAAGGCATACAGCATCTGTTAACAAAGATGTTTTGTCAATTCCAAGAAGTTTTTTTCAATAATTTATAGTAGTTGATTGAGTTGATTAGCAACCCTTACCAGGAGGGGCAGACAGTTAATTAATTTTACAAAAATCAATAAGAGAAAACAGCAGGTGGATGAATGATTGCCAAAAATAAATATTAGGTACAACAAAGAAATGCTCAGGAAAAAAAATCCAAAACCTTAACAAGAATCAGCCCACAACCTTCCAGATACCGGTAGGTTGCTCTAACCACTGAGCTATGGGTGACTCATATGGTGAGCAGGTCATAGGTTTTTATTTTGTTGAGGTAGCATAGGTGGGTGGGTGGGTGGGTGGGTGGATAGACTGAGACTAAATAATTAATACCACAACATCATTTTCAATTTTGTGGATTTCCTTAGACAGTTCCTAAATTATTGAAATAATTCAAACACAGCTGAAACAAAGACAAGAATGTTTTCAAGAAGTTTCATTTCCCACCTGCTCTTCGTTCAAAATATTTGACATGATGCTAAATGTTTTCCCAAGAACATGTCTCCCCAAAAAGAAACCTTGGTAAATCCCCATCATAAGGCAAAAATGGGGCAGTGAAAGTGATAGAAGTATATAGGGAGGAGAGAATTAAGCAACAGGCAAAGTTGAGGGGGCTGTGTCACTTTTCAAAACAACACTTATATTAATTTTATTTTAGCATAAGGAACAAAAGGTAGCGCATAGTGTTGGACTTACCGCATTTTAGAAAATTTTGGCTGATCTTTTTGGCCAGATAGGGATCAGAAAACGGATGAAAAAATGAGTTTCCAACAGCATTTTACAGCAAAAGGAAAAGGGGTTATAAAACACCAGGCAAAAATAGACTGCTCTCTTGGCAAAGACATATCCCACAATAATAAGAGAAAACTCTAGAATGTGAAAGATTAGTGTTATTTCTACTGAAACCAGTGTTCATCAATCATTTAATCTGGAAGGGCATGTTTAAAACAATGCCAAAATGAGGAAATGGAAAAATGACAAAATGACGAATTAGCAAAATGATTAAAATTATTTAGAAATAATACATATTTTTCTTTTACTAGTAATCCTCCCTACTATTCTTTAGGTAGAGTTGCCACATGCACTTCACACTATTGCACAGCGATTTTTGCACAGCCATAATCTGATTTGAAAGCTCTGGTGATGAGATTGTTGTCATGCAGAGCTTAATTGTGTGATGTACGTGCGCAAGCTCATCACACGTGCCGAAAATACCATAAAATTTTGAAAATAAGTCCCTCCATATATAAGCCCCTCCAAATATAAGCCCCCTAAACTCGTACCGCAAAAAACCCTCCGTTAAATCGCCCCTCCATTAATATAAGCCCCCTGGGGGCTTGTACTTGGAAATTGCCGTTCAATACAAAATAAAACAAAGCAAAAACGGTAAACTTCCTTCCAACCATAAGGCTAACCCAATCTACTTTGAAACACAAATTTCCATCCGTAGATAAGCCCCTCCGAATATAAGCCCATCCAAAAATAGGCCCCTCAAAAAGGGCCTTTGAAAAATATAAGCCCGGGGACTTATTTTCGGTTGTCCGTGGGGAAACATGTGAAAATGAAGGAGTAAAAAGTCCAAAGTCAAAACAACTTGCTAGCAGTTTTACAAGTGCAAATAAACAGAGTAAATAATTTTGTGTAACTCTGGTAATAATACCAGTGCTCAGAAAAAAAAATCCAAAACCTTAACAGGAATCAAACCCACAACCTTCCAGATACCGGTAGGTTGCTCTAACCACTGAGCTATGCGTGACTCATATGGTGAGCAGTTCATAGGTTTTTATTTTGTTGAGGTAGCATAGGTGGGTGGGTGGGTGGGTGGATGGACAGAGAAAACATGTCTCACCAAAAAGAACCCCAGTAAATCCCCAAGATAAGGCCAAAATGCGGCAAGGAAAGTGATAGAAGTAGAGAGGAGAGAAAGCAACAGGCAAAAGTTGAGGGGGCTGTGTCACTTTTCAAAACAACACTTATATTAATTTTATTTTAGCATAAGGAACAAAAGGCAGCGTAGTGTTGGACTCACAGCATTTTAGAAAATTTTGGCCAACCTTTTTGCACAGATTAAGTGACCAGAAAAAGGATTAAAAAAAGAGCTTCCAACAGCATTTTTCAGCAAAACTTTTGCGAAAGAAGAAGGGGTTATAAAACACCAGGCAAAAATATAGACTGCTCTTTTGGCAAAGACATTATCTCACAATAATAATTAACCGACAACTGTGCTCTAGATGTAAAAAACAATTACCGGTATATCGGAAGATTACTGTTATTTCTACTGAAACCAAATCATTTAATCTGGAAAAACTCCTGGATATTATAGTGTAATTTCATTGACAGGATAGTACCTGGTATCTGTTTGTCTGGCATTGTGGTTGTCTCTGGCTGATTCTTTGCTGTCAAATCTGTAAGGAAGAAAAGTATTATAAATTTGAAAAACCTAAAAACAAAGTTTTCTTTTGGCTTTTGTTGGTATGTAGCCTGAATTTCATCCAATTACTTTGAGTCATTTTAATTATTACTCCCTCAGTAACATCTGAATCAACCAGCTGTTATTTGCCGCCCAGAGACATCTCTACTCCTTTGCTTTAATTCATGCAAAAAGTAAAACACGATTTTCAAGTGGCAAACCAAGAAATATTGTTTGGAAATTTGTCTACATGACATAGAACAGCTGACAGAATTGCTTACTCTTTTCGATCGTAATTTATGTTTAACGTTCAAACTATCAACTGCATGCATGCAGTACTCTGAACCGTTGTAAATATTCAAACTCAGTTGCAATCATGCAATCAGTGAAACAAATAAACACACATGGAAAAATTAGTTCAAAAACACAACGATTTCCTTTAATTGAAAAGAAGCTATTTGGACCTTATTGAAGAAAAAAAAAACAAGAAAGAAAGGGTAACAGAATCATTACACTTGACGGTGAAAATAGCAAGAAGGTCGAATTACAACATGACATTGGTCTCAGAAACTTCGCATTTAAAACAAAATAACTGTGGAAACCACAAAGTGGCTCTAAATGATAAAACTACTGACTCTCCACAATGATTCTTCATTCGCAGTTCAATTTAGCAATTCAGTTTCGAAGACAAGGGCAATTTTAATTTGCTCAGCATGTTTACAATAAAGATTATCCAAACGTTTGAACTCCACGCAAGCATGCCACCAATGCGATCTGTTGAATATCTCGCGACAATCCCGCTAAAATTTCTCATTATTATACATAATTATGTGAATGTTTAGACAATCAACCTGAATCAAAATCACTACCCCGGGTTTTCGGGTAGTAGTCAGACGTCACTGGACGGCATTAACGGCTGGTCGATTCAGACGTTGCTGAGAGGAGAAAATGACTTGAAGCAATTGAATGAAATTCAGGCTTTATGATTTGATCAAGAGTTTGAAACAGAGAGAAAAATTTGAACCAAGGATAATATTGAAACAGTTTACACAAAAATATTTGAACAGAAAATTCATCCCTATTAATAATCAATCACGAGATCAGGGATGCATGTGACATACCTTCATAGTGCGGCCATTCTTTAAAAACAACAGGATCATTTAACATGTTGGACACAAGAGAAGCTGCCATGATGGAAGCAAATGACTTCCAGGACTCATCAGAAGTGTTGCTATCATCAGAAAAATGTGATATCCCTTTAACAATCACCCATTCAATGTTCATATCATGGGCTGCAGCAAACAGGCCTGTAATTATAAGTGGAAAGAAAAAACAGACCATATGAAAAATAATGATCCTTTATTTTCAATCCACTGTGAACAAGAACCTAGCAGAGCTAAAACTGTCCAGAAAAAACAGACCAATTACAATATGAAAATGATCCTTAATCAATCCACTGTGAACAAGATAAATCCAGCACAGCTAATTAACTCAGAATTTTTTTCTACAGTGTCGTGACTGAAATTAATAATCTTGTAAGCTTAATAGTCTTAATAATTTATGTTCCCTGCACAATAATAAATATTAAACTGTAAACTACATCCCTAGAATAACCTGGTAACACACCATTAAGGTCCCACGATCACTATGGTCAAACAGAATGTCATGGCTGTCAGTAATTGATTAGGTGCTGTGGATGCATGGTCAGAAGCAGTTGCCGAAAAGGACAGTTTAGAGTTCTAAACTTCAAACCAAACGCTACATCAAATTGTTATAATAGTATTATTACATGCATATAATATAATCTTACCTTCCCCTTCCCTTTCAATTGCAATCACGCGAGATTGAGACATACGGCGTTGTTTAGTGATGAATTGACTACCACTGAATATGTCACTGTCACGGTGTACCTGCACTGTTTCTTCACCTACTGGATCTTTTAATGGTGGATTCCAGCCATCAGTTGAAAACAACTTAAGTTTGCTAATATTTCTTTTTACTGGAGTTGTAAATTGTTCAGTTGAAAGTTTAGCGGATACCACTACATCTCCTAGCTTGGTTTCATCTGGATTTAAACCCTTGCAGCTGCCAACCAAAAAAGCAGCCTTGGGTCTCAGTTGCATCACTGCATTTTTAATAACAATTTGAGAGCCACCTGGACCAGAAGAACCTTGATCACATCTCATCAAAGCAACTTTCAGTGCTCTAGCTTCTCCACTTTCACCCATGGTTCCAAAGTACACGCATCCCAGGGTCTGGTCATAACTTTTGAAAGAATTTTTCAAGAAATAATAACAAGCTAAAAACTCGCAGTCTTCTACTGTCAACAAAAGAATGTCAACAGGAAGCTGGACATCACTCCAAGGGTTTAACTTGTTTGGAAGATCTCTCATTTTAGGCACTTCAATACTTAGAGGAGGAGGGGCATGATTTCTTGACATCTGATGATCAGGATCAGCACCTCCTTTTCTTTTAAGGTCTTGATGCTGCGCCATTGAGTCTCGGTTATAGATTTCCCTAAAAAATGTTAATTGAATTTAATAAGATCACCACATTAAATGACTCCAACAACTATTTCACTAATAAATTACCTTTACGTCACAGCTATGTTTTTAAGGGTCAAACCTCTAGTTATAATATTGGTGGACACCACTGTACAGTGACCAGGAGAATCGTGTACATGCACCTACAGGTAATTAAAGATCAAGATGTTTGCCTCTTTTAGTGACAAAGGTCAAATGCAGAGTTTCTAGCCCATAACCAGTTAGTGTCCACTTTTAGAAGACGTGTCCATCCACTTCACAAAGGTCAAAATATGCAAAAAGTGTTTGTAACTTCCTGAGTCCACAACTATAGTTCTTGCTATGGAAAGGGGTCCATTTCACAAAGGTCAATAAATTATTATGCAGTGTTTGTAAGTGTCTGCAGTGACCAAGCAATTTATGAGAGATTCCCGACCAACAATACACTCTTCAATATTAGTGACTGGGGCCATGACTGGGGCTATGTTTAGAGGAGAGGCCAATAATTATTACTAGCAAAAGTTCGACTGTACCATGAGGTTCAAACAAATAGTGATCAAGGCAATAGAAATGTTTGCAATGTTAAGTGACAGTCAGTTTCTGGCCTGTACCATTCTACTGACCGTGTAATCAATAGTATATCAATGACTGCATTTAAATCAAATGTGAAGTATAATGGTATAATACTCTAGTGATGCAAGAACATAGCTTTAAAGCTTACAATGTTAACTCCCTTTGCCATTTTACAGCAATCAATTTAATAACCTCAGCTAAATTACCTTCTCCTTTGATAGCTTCACACCATTCAAATAATTGTATGTGTTTAATTCAAATGACATAAAATCCTGAAAATAATAAAAAGATGGTAAAGATGACATCAAAATATGAGATATTATTTTGAAGCCATGCAACAACAACACCATGGATTACCCCTGGGGGAGGGGGTACTCAACACAGTTCTATACAGGGAGGCTCCACCTGAGGTCCAATCCCTTACCCTTTGAAATACCGTAAAATTCCAAAAATAAGTCCCGGGGCTTACATTTTTCAAAGGCCCTTTTTGAGGGGCTTATTTTTGGAGGGGCCTATATTGGGAAAGGCTTATGTACGGAGGGAAATTTGCGTTATAAAATCAGCTGGGCTAGCTTGTAGTGGAAATGAAATTTACCATTTTTGCTTTGTTTTACTTTGTACTCGAGAGGGCAAATTCTAAGTACAAGCCCCCCCGCGGGGCTTATATTCAGAGGGGTGATTTAACGTAGGGTTTTTTGTGAAGATTTTGGGGGGCTTATACATGGAGGGGCTTATTTTCGGAATTTTACAGTACCATTTTGACAGAAAAGGTACCCCTTTTGTGTACCTTCTTGTGACAAAATATGGTACCCCTTTCACATACCTAGTTTAGAACTTTGCATGATCCCTTTTTAACTGCTGATAAGGCACTTTAAGCAATTTTTTGTCCAATGATCCGCACAGATGGGTCTGCTTTAAAAGAATGCATAACAATTTAAAGTCAATGCTGAAATTAAATAGGCTTACAAATTATTTTATATATTTAAACAAATTTAGTGAAACTGATGGGGACCCGCATAAAACGTGGCAGGTCATCAATGAGCTAATACTTCTCACAAATCCAGCAGGTCTTCCGTTAAGGAATTAAGTCCGAATGGAGTTTCTATGACTAATTCAACCGCTTTGTCAAACACTTTTGTTGATCACTTCTCTACAATTGGCCCAAAACTGGCTTGCAAAATACCTTTAAACAATGGCCAATGGCCAATTATCTCTGGCCTTTAAAGTGAAAGATTCCAAATTCATCCCCAGTGACAGTAATCAGGTGTTGTCTCTTTTTAAAAAACTGAATAAATCTGGTCCAGATGAACTATCTAGTCAGCTTATTATGGATTGTGCTTTATTCAATATTGCACCTCACATTATTTCAATTACATTTAATAGTTCTTTATAAGCTAATGGTATATTTCCTGATAATTGGAAGTCTGCAAGGGTTACTTCTGTATTTAAGTAAGCGGCAAAAGAGGCAGCATAGACAATTATCGTGCAATATCAGTTATCTCTATCATTGGCAAAGTATTTGAAAGAATTATCTATCATCAACTCTTTACCATTTATTGGATCATAGTATTTTGTCTAGGCACCAAAATTCGGATTCCATGCGCTCTATTCAATAGTTACAGCCTTCTTAGAGGCCTGTAAATAGGTAAAGTTAACACCGTTGCTTTTCTTGACCTTAAGAAAGCATTTCACACAGTCAGTCATGATATTCTACTGTCTAAATATACCTCTTTATAGTTTATCACGGTCATGTTACCCAATCAGATCATACTCAGAAATGTCTTGTCAATGGTTCCCTTTCAGAATGTTGCACCGTTAAGTGTGGTATTCCCCAAGGAACAACATAAGGGCCTCTACTGTTTTTGCTATATATATATCTATATATATATCAATGATTTGCCCAATAAATATTGTCTGTTTCATTTTAAACGAAGAATTTATATTGATGATACCCATCTGACTTATTCGATTGGCAATATCCACTCCATTCAGTCTTCTCTGAATGAGGACTTGCTCAACATTAATCACTGGCTTACACTCTTTTTTTTATATAAGAATATATTTTATAAGAATATCGAGGCTGAAATTTGCGAAATTTTAAGAATATTTTAAGAATAAAGCCGAGGCTGAGATTTTGAAAAGGATAGATATAATTTTGTGTGCGAAATGCTTTTTTTAAAGCCAAAACGGCCAAGTGTCGTTTGACGTGACATCTTGACCTCGCTGACTGCAACGAAAAGCGATGGAGCACGTGCACAATGTAACGCGATACAGATCTAGATACCAAACACTTGTAATTGATACCCCAATAAATTCTAAAACGGAAATGTCATAAGCTATAATTTAAGAATAATACAAGAATATTTTCAGCCTAAAATCGGCAGAAAAATAAGAATATTCAGTCTGGGCCGGAAAAACAACATTCTTATAAAAAAAAGAGTGTATCACAAATGTTACATATGACTAAAACTGAATTCATGTTAAATGGCTCAAGGCAGAAGCTTAATAATCTACCTAATCTCTGCCTTCCTTAAATATAAAATTAATAATGTTCTGATCAAACATTCTCATTCCTCTAAGTCTCTTAGCGTCGTTATTGATGAAAATCTAACATGCGAAAACCAGGTTGACACCATAGTACACTATATTAAAGAAAATTGCGTCGGTTAACCCATCAATCATTGTTTGTCCCCTGCCACCTTACATGTTGTCTATTACGACAGCCAATCACATTTTGACAACTGCAGTGTGCTATAGGGTAGCTCGCGTGCCTATAGGGTATTGACCTCCTCCTATAGGCCATTATAGCGAGTACCCCCCCCCCCCCTGCCCCTAGGGGCAACTGCCCAAAATAATTGCGTGGTTCGGAGATATATCATATCTACATCAACACACTAATAGCAGAGGTCACAGAGAATATACACTTACTTTCAGGAGGATAACTTTAATCTTGTGTTATCAGGTGGTGACATCTTCAGTATCTTGGTAACTGATCTACAAAACTGAAAAAATATCATGTACTTAACACCTTTTTACGTATAAACGAGTGATGTTAATATTTCTGATTCTACCTCAAATAACACAAGTGATCCCTGCAGTTTTGTTTGACCTACATTTCACTACGATTCCACGATTTGACTGAAAGAGATACCAAATAATCTTTGCGAGCATAATTTGGCGGCACGCAGCAGCAGTGCATAACATAAAGTACTGATGAAAAAAAAGATAACAATTTTTCCACCAGCAACAACCTTTTTTTCTGGATAAACAAGCTTAAGCTTACCTTTCCGCAGATGACCGATGACCGACGTTGATTTCACTGAGGGTTCATGATCAAATTCATGTAATCAGTGCACACGATCTGGAAGAAAGAATGTATTTCATTATAAATAATCAGCTATATTGTTAGCTAGACAAACTGTAAATGTTAACCAATGTGAGAAAGACTTGAACATCTAGCTTCTATTTTACTTTTCTTCACAACTTACATCAGGGAGGGAAACTTACCTTACAAACAGACTGAAACAGAACAATTCTGAAGCCTCATGGAATCTTCGGAAATCTTCACTTTGACTAGTCCCAGTGTCCGCTCGGTTAACCTGCAAAAAGTCCTTATTTTAATTTGAGCGGTGCGAGAATCCTGCCGAATCGTTTGAGCTATCTATGTGGAAACCTAATTTTGCAAAAAAAGCTGTTCAGAAAGCTCTCTCTTCACAATTTATGCAAGAGGCTCTTGATTTCAGTTAAGGAGCGCTGGAGCGCTGCGATAGTTAGACTTCTTTTGTATTGTTGAACTCCTAAAGAATATTTTTGACGAAAGGGACAAATTTTGTCACGATCAGATGTCAACTTAATCATAGTCATAAAAAGTAATTGAATTTCATGTTAGGTTTACGGTGACTTATTCCTGTTGGAGAATCATTATAGATCACTGTTGCATGCTACACGATTGTGCCACTGATTCTTCATGATGCTCCGCGGATAGGAGCCCTGGTCTGGTTAAATTATCTTCTGTGATTAAAAACCTAGTAAGAATGTGTAATGTAAAATTACAAAGCTTTTTCTAAGTACAGACGATTACAGCACAAAACTAAAAAGTCTCCTTACGTCGTTAGTGGAAACTGGATATTACTAAACCCAAAAACTAAGAAAATGGAGAAAGATAGAGGCTGCAGAGAGTTAAAAACGCCAGACAATGGACAGGGGCACCCAACGACAATTTTCAGGAAAACATCTGTTCGGAAGACGATTTGAGATCTAGAATTTTCGAAACATTTGTTGTAAAATTTCTTGCTTACCTGCCTCTCCTAGGATTTTCGAACATCTACGAAATGGTATAATTGCCCATTTCTAACGGATTTTTACCCTAAAAAGGTCACCTAGAATTTTCGGGAGCCTTTTTCCCAGGTGAAATTTTCGAAAAGGTAAGTTTTGATCCCTATAATTTTCGGATCACTAGACTTTCAGCTAGGAAATCCGAACAGATTAAAAATTTTTAGGGGATAAAAATATGCCTATATCTACCGTTTAAATACTAAAATACGTTCAACAATACTATGTTTAAGTGGTTTTGAACTATATTCTCGTTGGGTGCCCCTGAATGGAGGCATTGAAGCTCTTGCATACCTGCACTTCAGAAACAGACGAAAATGAGAGTCTCACTGAGTTTATCAGAGTTTAAAATCACTGCCACGAAGCAGAGGACAAAACGATTTGATAACCAGCAAGGCAGCTAAGTTTTTAACAAATGTATACAACATTGACGTCCTTTACAAAAGCTGCAGACCGCCGCTTAGATATGTTATACATAATGCCTTAATATCCAAACAAAGAAATCATGTATTAAACAAACCTGAGTTCGGGAGCCACAAGTGGAGCGTCCGTATCAGGGGATGCGAAGATGTGAAGTGCACACTGCCTCGTGTGGCAGAGCTCACAGCAGCCTTATTTAAAGCAATGCTTTTCAGGAATGACGTCAACGTCTTGGAACAAGGGTGCTGCTGTAATTGGCTGTCTGTAAATATCGAGAATTCGCCGTCAAAACTGAAATTTCGAAATCCTTCATTTTCAGTCAGAAAGAACCCTTTGGTGAAACACTTTCGAAAATCACAATAAAAGTTTCCAAAGAATTTTCATTTTCGAGAAAACCGCCAAAAAGTCAAATGCTGCCCCACACCATATAGTCGCCGGTCTCAAACCTTTTGAATTCTCAGTCCCATTTTCAAAGCCCTCGGGAAGAAAAGCGGTCCTAGGAAACAAGTTCATCTTTGGCAGGTAAGTAAGGCATTCTAGTTGCAAATGCGCTGGTCCACAACTGTCAATGCAAAACCGAAAACCTCACGGCAAAAACAAAACACCTCACGGCAAAACCAAAAACCTCACGGCAAAAACAAAATACCTCACGACAAAACCAAAAACCTCACGGCAAAACCAAAGACCTCACGGCAAAACCAAATACTTCACAGCAAAAACCAAATACCCACGGCAAAACCAAAGCTATTTTGTTTTTGCTGTGAAATATTCGATTTTGCCGTGAGGTTTTTGGTTTTGCCGTGAGATATTTTGTTTTTGTCGTGAGGTTTTTGGTTTTGCCGTGAGATATTTTGTTTTTGTCGTGAGGTTTTTGGTTTTGCCGTGAGGTATCTCAGTTTTTGCCGTGAGGTTTTTGGTTTTGCCGTGAGGTTTTTGTTTTTGCCGTGAGGATTTTGTTTTTGCCGTGACAGTTGTGGGCCACCGTATTTTAATGTAGTATCTAAGAAATATTTAAGTCTTCTATGAATATCGTTCTTTAAATTTTAACGTATAAATGGAATAAGTGAAAACCGCCGTAAAGAAGGACCAGTGCAGACTATATACATGTATGTACCGAACGGGAATGTTAAAAATAGATGTACAGAATCTCAAATCAAGAATTTTTGATACAGTGCGCCTGAAAGTTTGTTTCATTTGATAAAAACCCGTTACTGAGGGGCTGGAAGTTGTAAGAGTTCAAATGGCAGCTGAAATGGGAAACTGAAACTGCGTTTGGCGAACCAAACAACAAAGGTCAACAAATGATATCGACACCACCCTAAGCAATCTTTTTTGAATTTATTTTTTGATTTATTTTATGTTCATTAAAGAGCTTGCATTCATTATAAACTAGTCCTATTGCTTCAGTGACCCAGGTGGAAGGTCGCCCTTAATGCGCTCTTTCCAACTGGTCGACAAAATGCTTTAAATCTATTAAAAACTGTTAAATTGACACAAAATGTTCGTACGCCGAAAGTAATATTATTGAAACAAACAACTGAAGGGAACTTCGCCTCTTCATAAAATACGTTATTTAACCGGCCAAGAAAGTACTCAAAGTTTCCTCTTATGAACTTTACAGGCAAATTTATCATCAGTGAACTCAGAGGAACCATTTGATGTTCGTCATTACCTGAGTAAAACCTTGCAACTACAGTTTGTATTAAAAACTCTTTACAAAGAGTACAGGATCGGCCTCTGAATGGTTCCTTTATACTATCTATCTCTCACTTGTCGGTCTATTCCCCACCGTAGGGTACACAAAAAAGGCCGTAATTCCCACCCCGGGACTTTTCATCGAGGGCAACTATGCGACTGTTTCGTTTAATAATTTATGTAGAAAATAAAGAGAACCTGACTTACATTGTATCAACAACAACAACAACAACAACAAAAAAAGCACGGGATACCCGCACAACCGGCGCTATTGTTTCACGCGGCCACAAATACTTCGCAGACACACAAAAAGAAAACACAATGAAAAGTTAGTTTTAATTTGCCAACCCTCACTATACCTTCAGCCCCCGCGCCGGGGCCCGAGCCCGAAACTCTGGACTTTTCCCGCAGGCTGCCTTGGGGACGGATGGTAGAAGATAAAAAAGAACAAGGTTTTTAGGGTTTTGGTCATTTGGGTAAACCATTTGATAGCCAGTTGCGTGTGTGTAACAAGTATTTTGTAGCTAGTACTGCGTAGAGAGCCAAGTATTCAATACGATATCGTCTTATTGAAGGTAAGACAAGAAAGGGACTGATGCTAGAGGGTACTAACTCTAGGTGTCCGATTTTATTATTATTATTTTTTTTTACCAAAGTTACCAGGATAAATTGTAGACCAGAGAAATGGAACTTTTTCGACGGTAAGTCAGCCCGTAATTTTACGTAGATCAAGAACCCACGCTGAAACGAAACATCTGGAGCGCAGAGGGTGAAAAGGAGATTTGCCACGCCCTGTGAGCGTGTGAGGAACACGCGCGCGCGAAAATCATACGAGGGCATAGAAAAGGACCGCCCATTTTACAGTCTCGGAACTTCTGGTAAACGCTCATCGCATATTCCAGCTTCAAAGCGAGTAAATTTAAAAACATCAGGTTTGCGTAAATTGCGTTTTAATCTGAGAGAAAACATTTTGAAAATAATATATGCACTTTGCATGTTTATCCGTTTTTGACCAAATAAATGATGTGTTTTCCAATATACCGGTCCAGCCTCGACCAAAAATATTTAACACAGCACGTTCAAAATTCTACGTTTTTAATGTGAACAGGGCTTAAGATAAACGTCCACGCGTGAGGGCGGAGAGCATTGCGTGACTCTAGCCCGAACGGCTGCGAAGGAGACTAAAACCAAGAGAGAATGAGCTAAAACTGATCATGACTCCGATCAAGTCACTAGCCATGATAAAGCGATCGTTGGAGAAAGCGTTCATGTGTAAATCACATGTCATGATCATGATTCATTCCGAATGGTGTCTCTTGTTTTTCACATGTTTGCTTTGGGACGGGCCAGCCATTTATTTTGGGGGGGTAGGAGGTGGGGTTAGCAAAAGAAAATCAAAGTCATGCACAAGAAAAGAAGGAGAAAAAATTGGTACACAAGGAAGCATGGGAAAACGTTTATGCAAGTCTCACCTATTTTTGGGATTTGTATAACGGGAATGTTAGATAGGAAATGCTCATATTTTTAAATCCTATTCGAAAGAAAAGTGTTGAATAGCCATAATTTCGACTTCCCCGATGTAAACAACCAGTTGCTAAAATGTTGAGACACTCCCACGAAAAACCGACCTTTTTTGCTTCAAATCGCTCCTGGTCACAGGTCTGTGAGAAATAATACTGACCTCCCTCCTCCCTCCCATTCAAAGTTGTTCCTCCAAGTTTTGAGCATGGTCTTGTATTGCTAGCAACTTTGATAAACCTGTGCAGGGGGGATCACAAGCACAAGATCATTGACAGGCCATTTATGCCCAAATAAAATACGGTACCGTGTCTCAAGTACTTTTGGAACTGGTTGAACCAATATTGCTTACATTGCCGTATCTCCGTAAATCTGCAATGAAAAGATTTCCAGGATAAGCCCTGGATCAACTCAATTTGTTTTGGCAATGAGTCTAAGCAATGCCTGTCCTTCAAAGCAGTTCAGTAGCGCAAACTAACTTCTATTTTGATAAATCACAAAAATTGCCAGCTTTTTCGTATACGTTATTAGCCCTGTCTTTTATACACTTTTTCCGTAGACCAGTGTTCGTATGGCAAAAGTCCTGTCTTCTTACCGCTTTGTATCCGTAGTTTTTGTTGTAGTGGTGCTTGTCAATGTGCAGTTTAGTTTCGCCGTCTTATTACCAGCCATTTTTGTTTCGTACATTAGTTTTTAGTTTTTTTCCTCCCCTTTTTTTCTTGGCAACCTTCATTCGAAACGTCGTGGAAAATTTTTTTCCGTTTATTTTTACTGTCATTTAGCCATTTTTCGATTGCAAAGCAGTGCTGGGTAATTTTCTCCTATTTCTCCCGCCTTCCACCCTTTTAGAACTCCCATCACCCGTCCTTTCTTCTCCCATCTCCCAAACCCCTCCCAGTGTCCCAACCCCCTCCCAGTGCCCCAACCCCCTATTCTCCCGAGCTCTCGTCCCCTGTCCACGTCCACTAAATTCTTCGTTCATTTTCGCTCCGCTTGTACCGTAAATTCCTTGTTATTCCGTTCTTGTTTAGAAGTTTTATTTGAATCCTCTACCTTCGCCCTTGTCCAGGCAAAAATGCGCATGACCGGAAAATCTTTATCGCCCCTAACCGGTTCGTTATTTCCACCTCTGTTTCTATAAAGATTTAAATCGAGAACAGAGAAAGCCAGTTGTTCCATTATTAATGTCATTAAGTAACAGTGGCTCGCCTAATTATAACCTGTGGGAAGTTAAGAGCACATTTTGAATGATTCTGGAACCAGTTTTAAATTAATAATCCATGGAGTTTTAACTCCATATATTAAAATATAATACAACAACTGTTGCTCGAGGTACCAAGGTCGATGACTCTGATTTAACTAAACTTACGAAGCGTGGGCTGTGATAAAAGGCTATGAATATATGTGTACATATGTCGCAAAAAAAAACTTTTGCAAATAAACGCGGCTGAAAAAAAAGGAAATAATTGCTCAACCTCTACTCTCCCTCCGCCTCTCCAAATGTAATGCTCCTTTCCTAATAAAGTAGCCTAAGATCGGTCTATATTTTTGTATTGATTGCCTTTTTTTTCAATCAGTTAACAACGAAATCAAGAGACATACCTCACAGCCCGGGGGGGGGACTCCGCATATCAAAGGGTTGGGGATGCTCGTCGTCTCGCTTAGGAGTGTAAATTCAGATTTTGGTCTCATTTAGGGTTTTCTTGGCAAAACGCCATCATATTTAGCCGTGAAGGTCTCGTTTAGGGTTGCACGTGAAAAAATATAAAAATGTATATATTGTCTGTGTTTTAACATGGTCTCTTTTAGGGGTCAAAAAAAGCTTGAGCCACGCTCAGATTGGTCTCCTTTAGGGGTTTAATTCAAAATTTCCGACGAGCATCCCCACCCCTTTCATATGTGGAGTCCCCCCACGGGCCTCACAGATGCCAAGATTGACAAGCTTTTGACAAGGCACCTAATCTTTCAATCAGCTCGTTTAGGAAACTCATATTTAATATCTACTGGAGCTTTACCAACCTTTGAGAGCATCCGGTTTTTTAGGCTTTGGTCTGCGGTTCGCAGGCTAATTATTTGCCATTTTCAATTCAATGTTTGACTGAATCTTAGTCCGTTTTCTTTCCAGCAATTTCTTTGTATAAAATACACCACACGACTCAGATCAAAATATTTATGTCAAGTTAATCTAATTTCAAAAAAATATATATTTTGATAAAAGACTCCATACTTTCCTTAGCATTGTTGACATTTATGGAAACGGCCGTTTGACCTTTCAGAGCTGGTTCATTGCGATCGTCCACTATCTAACTTTCTAACTAGTCAAGTCATACCAGAGCAATCAAAGACTTGATCAATCTTTCGATTTTGCAAGTAAAAACTATTTTCCTGATCACCACGAAAAAATGTGGATTCAAGACAATTTTTTGGAGTTTGTGTTACCCCCGGTTGCATGACGATTTCAGCGTGCATTTTATGCAAAAACATCGAAAATGAACTGCGCGTTTACCTCTCTCGGCGGGTTGCTTTTTAATTGCCCAAGCTGGATTTTTTATATGTTATACTACAATAATGGGCTTTACTGAGGTATAATGATTCTTCTAAAATTTCATGTGCCAAGCCGTAATTCAGTTTTCCTTTAAAGTTTCCCACAATTTCAGTTTTTATGAAAGTGCTGAAGATAGGAATCTTCGGGCGTTTTTTAACCGAGTAAAAAATTCATTATCTTGCAATATATTTACCAGATAGTATTGTAACTGGGATGCCTTACTTACCTGCCAAAGATGAACTTGTTTCCTTCAACCGCCTTTCTTCCCGAGGGCTTTGAAAATGGTAAAATTCAAAGGTTTTAGACCGGCGTGAGGCAGCATTTCACTTTTTGGCGGTTTTCTCGAAAATGAAAATTCTTTGGAAACTTTGATTGTGATTTTCGAAAATGTTTCACCAAAGGGTTCTTTCTGACTGAAAATGAAGTATTTTGAAATTTCAGTTTTGACGGCAAATTCTCGATGTTTACAGACAGCCGCTCCTTAGGTCACGCGATATCTATCGGGTTATCTATCGGACATTGGCTATTCAATATACATAATGGCGTCCAATTCGGTCTGTAATCATACGGGTGATTAACAAAATCGGACTACCGCGTAGCGGGAGTTCCATTTGTTTAATCAGCTGTAAGCGAATTGGACGACACGAAGTTCTCTCACCAATAAATCATAACTATAACAAAATTTGTGATATTTTATGCTTATATTTAAACTTAAAACACAAGAAAGTCCGATATTTTTTTTGCTAGCAGTGAAAAAAAGCCATTTACGTGCGCGCGTGCGAGGCATGACGAGTACTGTGCTATCACACTGACCTACTCTGCTGAAATCAGGACAGTTGATAGCCAATCAGATTTGAGAATTTTGTTATAGTTATGAATAAAATGGATCGAAAATAAGGAGTCTGTTTTGCCACAGATAGAAATTCCCGTTTCCGATCACCACCATTCACTCTTTCCGATGCCGCAAAAAGGATTGTCCGTCTTCAAGTCAGTTCAGAAAAAGGAAAAGAAAGTCGCCGACTTGTGTTGACTTCTTTGATAAAAGTGAAATTCCACGTCGTATTCGTCTCATGACGGGAGCAGAAATGTACCAAAAACTGTACTGCAAGTGCAGAATTCTTGTTTTGCTCGGTTGTAATTGCATAAGCTCTCTGTTATGTGGGGTGAGTTTGTTGTAAGGTTCCCTTCTCTGCTCAGCTGTGAGAGGTTTTTCTTCGGGTTCTTGGGTTTCATCCAAAAACCAACATTTCATAAATTAAATCACATTTCGATCTACAAAGTGACTCCAGCCTTAGTCAGGAACCCTTAGAGGGAGAGGTTTATCAGTTCGTGAAACTGTCAAGTGTATGTCAACCTTCAGTCTAAATAAAGCGTTATTTTTAAGCTGTCAAGGGCCCTTTCTCATGCTTCCTCATATCTGGTTTCTGTATCCTTACTAGGATGTGATCGGGTTTTTTAAAACCGCGACAGGTTAGTCTCAAACTCTTGGAGCAAAAGTCTACTTTAAAGGAGGGTGGGGAGAGGGAGCCTTCTACCAAACCGTTCCCCACCCCCTAAGTAGATTTGACACTCATCCAGGAAGGCCGCGAGATATCGTGTGATAACAGGTTTGTAGTCTGAAATCTGTTGGTGAAAATCTAAACGCGTAAACGTAATGGGCGTGGTCGCAAAACGAGTACAATCAAGCTTCGTTAATACGGACACCAAAGGGACAGAGCCTAATGTCCGATATACAGATATACAGGTTAGGAGTTTGTTACCTCAGAACCTGCAATAGAAAAGGTGTACATAAGAAGAATTTCGACTGTTTATGGGATCCTGAATGGTGCACCTTAGAATCCAAGGTTAGTTTCATTGCCAGCCTGCAAGTTGACTTTTTGAGGGCTAGAAGTCGCGAGAAGTTTTCCCTCCTGACCTATTACCCACCCAAAAACGGACTTTAAAAAATTCTCTGCCAGCCTTAAAAAAAAGAAGTTTGCATTCAAATTTACACTCCCTGAATCCCTGTAAACTTAGAAATTGATAGTAACTACTATATACAGTCTAAATCTTTGTTTTGAGAGTGGTGATTTAGACTGGGCAGGCGCGCTCCAGAGGAGAATAATTTTTAAGAATATAAAGTTACTGCGGTAAAACAACAACAACTGAAAGAAAGGAAAGAGGAGGGTGATGACAAAAGTGAAAAGAAATAGAAAACAAATTGCAGGAAGGAGTTCGCACTTTTGCAAACAACCGCTACAAAAGTTATCAAGTTCAACGCCTGTAGCCGGACTTCATAGTAGCGTACTGTCCTATTCCGAATTAATCGACTATGCCCCAACAATTCAAACACTTCGATATCTTTATGGTGTCCTCCTCCGGCGCTATATGACAAAAAATGACTTTACCCTCGCGATACCAGTTAATTTTGTTTTCTTCAAATCTCAATATTTTCCAGTAGGAGGGAAACAAAATCAAATGTTTTACCTGGAACTCAGTCATTAAGTGTTCCGGCTGTAGCAAGATCAATTAACCACTCCTCAGAATTCCAAATACAGCTTGCGCTTGAAGCCAGCTACGTGAATGGAAATTGTACAGAAGACGCACATTGCAAACTGAGAACATGCATGCCAGTCACCTTAGTCGCGAATGGAGTGGTGGACAGTTGGTGTTCCCTGTTTATTTTGAATAAACTTGACCAACTTGTCCTTTAAGGAGGGACCATCTCGACCTTGGAAACAAAGGGTTAGCTGTTTCTTATTATACCAGTTGATGACGAGATTATTGTTAGAACTTTTGAATTGCTTTACGTTTCCTCCGGGCGACGACCACTTTCCTTGTAGTTTCAAGCCATTTTCCACAAAATTCTTTAACGATTCAAGGTTATTCGTCCACGTTAATCGTTCCCCGTTTAGCTTAAGGGATTGTAATTCGCACCATTTAAGGTTAAGCTGGTAAGACTCGGTATCTTTCGTCAAAACGGGACCAGAAGGTTCACGTCCGTCCGCCATGGTTCACGTGCGTGCGCTGAGTACTGCAGGTGTAGCGAGGACAGCACCTTGATTTGCTGGGCGGGACCTGCAGCAGCAACAGTATATGACAAGAATACAGATAACCAATAAAGGTCCACCTATCACTGCTGCCTTTGTAGCATCGGACAAGTCGTACCACCACTTGAACATCCCTACAACAAAGAACACAGATACAACTTTACTTGAAGACATGTTTAAACAAATTAAGCCCGCCCTCAAACAACATCTATTACAGATCAGTCTCGTCGTCCATTTCTACCCTCATCCAAAGACAGGACACTGGAAACATAAGGAATGATGTGACACTCCTCAGATAGAAATGGTATCCACTTTCAGCTTCATAGTTTATATATAATCATATTTGACGGCCGATTCTATGACCGTTTGACACCGGCTCTCAGTGGTGTTGTGAGACGTTGTAACGACTTATTGAGAAGAGGTTGAACTGTTTAAACTTTGTCACAACATATTATGGTAATGTTCATCGTCAAAAAGGTCCACCAATCACTGCTACCTTTGCAGCATCGGACAGGTCGTACCACCACTTTAACATTCGAAGGTTGTCACAAAGTTCTCACAACGTTGTCACGACATTTTTTTTTTGTTCTCGAAATGTTTAAGCTGTTTGACACACTCTCACAACGCAAGCGCAGTGTAACTAACTTTCTTTTGCGATAGTGAATATGATCAATCTCTCGTACCCATCCCGCTTTCTGTTTGGTAAGCAGCAAGATAACGTCCCGATATTTGCGCATGACACGAAGGGACCCCTGCAGACGAGATTGAAACATGATTGTCTATTCATATGTTTGTTGAGGCATTGTCGAAAGTGTTCGACCGTAGGAAAAGGCCTTGTTTTTTTTAAGCTCCGTTCCCTGCTTAGGGAAAGGATCTGTTTTAATGGGCCTGTACTGGCTGCCTGCAGAACAGCGTGTTGATTTTAAGATGCACTCTGATACCTTTAAATTTTTTATCGCTAGGCTTCTTACATCTACGTGTCGATACATGAGCCATTGTCCTGCTACAGACCTGGTAAAAATCTTCTCTCCTTGCAGACACTAATAGATCACATTGTGTTTTTAACCCTAAAATTCATAGGTATCGTTCCTTTTCTGTTACTGCTCCAGAACTGTTAGCAGTTTCAAAGTAATATGGTCACTTCCGAGTCGGTAACAGCCTTGAAAATATTTTTTCTAATATTTCACTTTTTCCTGGACAAGCGGTAACTGATAACTGAACAGCAATTATGCATGTGCCATAAAAGAAAGTTAATTGATAGGCTGCGTGGCGTTTGAAAGGTAAGGGAAAGGGAATTTGGGCGCAAGGTCCCCCTCCCTCCTTCCTCGCGCGTCCCTCGCGCGTTTCACGCGCCTAAAATCCTCTTTCCCTTTCGAACGCCTGCCGAGCAGACGAGTTAATTGAAGGTAATTTTACTGCAGAATTACTGTGTTCTGTTAACGTAATAGTTATTTCTCACGAATGCGAGTTCTAGAATGCGTTACACACATTTCTAGTTTTAATTATGATCAGTATACCCACCACAATCGTTAGTCGAAATCGGTAAGTCTCCCTCCATCACAGTAACTTTCACAGGATAAACACCTTTTCCCAACACTTTTCCACCGGCCAGTAGCTTCACCTATAAAAAAAAACAAATTGTTTCGAACTTATTGATTTTATTTTTCCTGCTGGCAGAATCTCCCTCTCCAGAGAACTCTGGATTTGACTCGTTTAAACAATTTATGTTGGGTGCCGCATGGGTTAGTGTACATGTCAGTTAGCGCTCAAAAACGACCAATTTTCACTTTCGTTTTAAATTCTGTTGTACATGAAATAAAAACTCGGTGATGAACTTGAATTAGCAGTGAATGTCGAGTTCTAGAAAATTTTCAGGCATTTGATCATAAAATAGTTGTTTATGGGCAAAGTGTTGGAGGCAGTGAACTACTGTCTTTGTCTTTGATTTGATGGAAAACACATGGCCAAGTGATACGGAAACACGTGACCATATTCGAATCTCGAGAGGGCGCGGCATCCAAATAAGCACCGCACCAACAATATGAAAATTTTAAAAGCTTTTAATTGTATACGGTAGCTGAATTCACTCTTTTAGAGTATGTCCTGCACTTTAACTTCCATTGTCTTGCCCCGATCGTATAACTCTGAATTGAAAACAGATGGAATGCAGGCTTCAGAACCCAAGGAAGACAAGAACTGAACCACTTGTACGGGTGCCTTAGTTTCCAGAGGCGCTGTCTACGCACGGTATGTTCAGCGACTGCAGCTGGTGTTAATCAGTAGAACAAAAGACATAAACCTCCCTCGGAACATGAGGCTTAAACCTGTTACATCCTTAAAGGTACGGAAAAACGGGCAACAAAAAGCGTGCAACTTGTTTTGCAGCAATGTTGCAAGACAAGTTGCGCGTTTTTTGTTGCTCGTTTTTTCCGTACCTTAACCATATTGGGCGGGTATTTACTGAAAATGACAATTGATACCTTGAGTTTGAATGTGATTGGCTTCTCAACAAAATTCATCTTGCACGTGATCGTGCTGCAGTCGTCACTGATCGTGCAGCCCTCGTGTAGTGTCTGGGACATACCGGAACATGAAGCTCCTACAAAGTACACATTGTCAAACCCTCGCCATAATGACGCTGTTAACTGACAGCGGCATTATGTATGCTCGCATCTTGCTTCATATCATTCATTAGGGGCTTTGAACACATAACAAAATATCATACAGCTGAATAATTTCAGAGGTGATAAAAATCATTTACCGCAAAGTTACGTTGCCTCGTTTAATACTCGCCAAAACCGTAATTTATTTCAGGAAACAAAAGATTTTAAATACTAGTAAGAATTTTCGTTGAGTTTCTAAAGTTCAAGTCAAAACTGTTCAAAGAAACGAGTAGGCTCTTTTGAACAGATATTCCAATCCCTCCAGCAGAATGATTCGCGTTGGATGCCCATGGTAAAAGGGTAAAAATGAGCAAAAGAAAACTGATCAGACGGCTCAAAGCCAAAACCAAAATGTACAAGTCTGTCGCAAATACTTAAGTAATGATTAAGGAGGAGTCAGGGGAAAAAACACCTGCCGATAATGAATGCACCGATCTACTAACTAAAGGCTTCAGAAACAAAGACGGAAGCTTCTGTGGGCATATAATCTGTAAATGCACCTTATACTGACGAGGGAAATAGTCACTGAATTTACGAGCGATGTCATATGGCTTGCAGATCAGTGAGGTACATTTACAAGGTTGTCAAAGAATTTTAGTGACTCTTCTAGAAGAGGAGAACGCAAAACTGACCGCTACCAGAGACTGATCAGAGGGCATTGTTATTAGACTAGCAAGCAGCGCCTTTATTTACTATTTTAAAGTAGTGAGCCAGGTCAGTAATGATTGAAATGATTGCCACGGATCAGTGTTCGACCATTCAAGTCGAATATCTGACTGTTATCACCGTGAACGAAATGCCCGATCGCGAACTTCGTTGGTTATATACGTAATCTCAACATTACATTGGAAACTATGATCCTATCTTAATCAGATCAGAAGTTGCATGACGGTGTCAAAAACTGAATAATAAAAGAATAGAAATAACTAATGAAGTTTCAAACACGAGGCGTCTTAAAAAATCACAAATTGCGAGTTTGTTGCTTCAGAAAACAAACAAACCGTGTTGCATATCTGTTAATTCCTCAAAAATTCGCATGTGTTGGAAGGACCAAAAATGAAAGGAAAAATCAGGCGATATGTTTAAGAGATTTAACTTCCTTGTATTTTCAACATGAATTAATGACTTTTTCAGGTCTTGTAAACCAACACGACAAGAACGTAACAACTGTGTTCAACTCGTCTTCAAACCGGTAAGATCATATTGTTACCAGTCTGTATCAGAAAAATCTAAAATAATAAGCACTGAGCATTTCCACTACATGATCACCTCAGAAGGGATCGAAGATTCAAGATGCCAGTGATTGAGCATTAAACCAAACACTGGGTGACTAGAAACGAGAATAAAGTTTCTCTATATTTCATAACAACTCATCGTAGTCAAGTGTAATTTCGTGGCTAGAAAGGGTGAGATACTGAAGTCCGCTTTTCAGCATATAAAGAAAAATAGTTTATTGGATGATTCCTTAACACATTTACATGAGTATGTTACCGCATTATTTTCAGGCCGTTGAAAGGTACGATCCTGTCAGTAAGCAAAGTCAAAGTTATTTCACTAGATAGATCTCTCGAATTTTTGGTGGCCACAAAAAGGAGACGCGATCTGTGCAACGCCTATAGCCTTGTATGCCACAGTGCTATGACAGATTTATTTTATCTATAAACGACACGAATAATGTTACTGACCTGCAGTTGAAGAGAATTCTTGAGTAAAAACAATAACAAAAAGTCCAATAAGTAGTATTTCTCCCGAAGCCATTATCACAAATTACCCTGTCTTCAGAGCGCTCATACGAAAGAAAACTTAAAAAATCAGGCTCCCAAAGTAATCACAAATAAGACTGAACTCGAACTTCCACGTTCCTCGACCCGTCTTGCCTTAATTAAAGTTCATTGGCAGAGGGACTTAGAACATTTCCTGTTTGACCCCCCCGGTTTTGAGGTATTCTTTGAACAGAGGCTAGTTTCGTTTTGAGGTATTCTTTGAACAGAGGCTAGTTTCTCGGAAATGATTTATTGTAACGTGACGCAAAATAATGCTTATTTACTTTTCCCAGAGGTTTATCTTAAGTCCACTTTAAAAAGGGTGAGGTCATATATACTTGTTGAGCATGAGCTGTCTTGAGAAAATTCTTTTGAATACAAACCTTAGCTTTTAAAGTTTGGAATATGTTTGCAAAAACTAAAAGCGAGCGAACCAAATGGGAAAAGTCGGAAAAAGCCGGAGTACAATCATCAAAAGTCTTTATTACGGACACCAAGGGGTTCAAGCCAAATGTCCGCATTATCGCGCGTGCATTAAGAAGATGTCACCATACATTTAATTAACAGGTTCAGACTCGTATGAAGTTCTGTAACCTAGGAATCAAGAGAAATGTCTGCAGTAGAAAAGTCTGCATAAGGAGAGTTTCGACTGTATTGATTATGGGCTCCTGATTGGATAGTTAGAGGCTATACCTTGGAACTTAGGTTAGTTTCAGAACAAACCTGAAATTTGCGAACAGTTCGACATTTTTTGTCGATTGACGAAGTCGCGGGAAGTTTTTCCTCCCGACCTATTACCCAGAAAAAAGGACCTAAGAAAGTCTCTGCTCGGCCTCCTCACAGTCACCCTACTATTGCTGGTTTGCACGTGACGTCAAGGCGGCCATGTTGGATGAAAAGAACAAAAGCATTTCTTTCCTCTGGGAACTTAACTCTATTTTCATGTGAATTCTTCAAGAAAAAATTCTACTGTATTGTCATCCAACATGGCCGCCTTGTCACATGGTTTAAATCAAGAAAAGCTAAAGCCGATATGTAGATTTAGCCAAGGCTAACAGCGAAGTTCTCGTTTATACACTCAAACAAAAAATAAACTTGAAGCTGCTGCGAAGAAATCTTTTAAATCTGTGCTTAATATCAGATCGATCACAAACATGCAAGAAAACGGAGCCATTCTAGCATAAAAATGTTAAGCGTGCAAAATGTTATCACGTTTAGAAACAAAAGAAAGCCCACTGCATGTAGAAATGTATTTATCAAAAATCAAAAGGCCTAATTAGCAAAAAAAAAAAAAAACTTTGCACGTGCATCACGTTTTTTTGTTCATTTCTTTGTCGTTGTTGTTGCACGACTACAATGTGAAACTTGACAAACTTCCTAATTAATACACGTTTTATGGATGAAATGTCGTTTGCGCTCAGAACCTTATTTTCATAGCTAGTAAGTAATGATCCGGGTCAGGTGGATAGCAATTTCTTTTGTTATGCGGCAACGGTGCTTTCCCCACATAGGAATGTTCTCATTTTTGCACAGAGAATGCATAAACCTACATGAAGGCCGTTTACGCAATAAAATGCATTTACACTCCACTTTGAAAGGGTGTTTTTTTGTGTTAAAAGATTTTGACCAATCACAAGAGTTGAAAACAATAGCCAAGAAAAGTTTACAATTTTACATGTTCCCCACATAGGATTTCTTTGTTATTCAAACATAGACCAGATTTTGTTATACGGAAGATGGTTGGAAAGTAAGGATGAATATATGTACCGCTTTATGAAGTTTTGTTAACTTTTGCTGTTTAAGCCAATCAGAAGTAAGTACAGACGATAGAAAAGTTAGCACCTTTTTAGCATTCCAACATGTTCGTTGCCGTTGTTGCTATCGTTCTTAGCTGGACCGTTTCTTAAGACGCGCAATAGGCAAGTTTAATTTCCTCTTTGCATCCGTTAGGTAATACTGACTATTGCCTTTGTCAGTTTGGCACAGTTATAAACTAATGACTTTACAACATGGTGTATTCTTTTTGTTTGTAGTTGTGACATACGCGGAGTTCCACACGATGACCTCGAATTCAAGAGTACACAAAATGGCGGCTGTCGGGCAAGAATGTTGCACGTTTTTCCTTTACCAGTAGAAGAGGTGGAGCAAGAACGACAGTCATTTTCAGGTATTTTGATTCCCTTTACTGTAAATTTTTAGTCAGTCGTCGGTTTTTACGGTACTCGCGAAAAAAACTGTCATCGTCGTGATCTTCAATTATTTATTCCTCGATTCTTCAACACTTGTTCATCGGAGCGCATGAACGATAATTGTAAAAGAGCGCTATAGTATTTTGATCTGCTGTCTAATTCCGCCTCTGGCCGCCATTTTACATTGTTTGTGTTTCTAGTCAGTGATAGGACTGAACCACATTATTTCCATTCAGCTGGGATGCAATGAAAAAGAGGAGAGAGTCGTTTTGCGGCTACAGGCTTGTTTCGGCCTGCACCGCGCTCAATTACACGTTTACTATTTTCTTTGTTTTATTCGTAAACACACTTACAAGACGATAAAACATGCGTGTTAGACGCCTAATAAATAGTGAGCCTCTGAAAATTCCACTGCATTTAAAAGAGTGAAACATTCGGAGTACCCCGATTGCCACACATTTTCCGTTCGAGGTTTAAATATCCCGCCGCACGCGTGTGAGGGAGGAAATACACGCGCGTCTTCTCCTTCCTCGCGGGCGCCACGTGCATTCTTATGTGCGCGCCATAATTCTTATGCACCTAGCACAAAGGGAAGGATGAAGTTGGATAAAAACTCGCACCCTTCGGGTAACCAGTGCTGTACCATCTGAGATAGCAACGTAGCGAACAAGTTTGATAACGGAACTTTGTGGAGGTCGCTTGGTATTTTAAAATTTCCTCAGGCGTGGGGAATTGCAGTGTCTACTTGTAGCTTATTTTACTACTATTGACCCTGCATAGCGGGGAGGCGCGTGATAAAAATATATGATCCCACATTGATATAACTTGCGCTGCAGTAAACAGCAAATACGATAATGCTGTTTTTATACAAGCGGAAACAATAAGAGGATAACAGTACAGATCACACAGCAGAATTACAGTTTTGTTCGTGTCAATAAGTTTAATTGAATATTATTTACAGCAATAAATATACCAAAAATCGATTGCACTTCACAAAGATTAGAATTTGTACAAATCTTACACCGTAACAATTATGTGCAGAGTAATATTGTCGCCCACGGACTTATTTCAGATTGATTCGAAGGACTGTATACATTTAGTACGTGTTCGATGCCAATTGCATATACTTTTTCTCGTCAAAAATAATGAAATATTACTTACAGTAGTGAGCAGATTGTACTATTGAAATACGCTGTTAACAAAAATTTGAAATCATTGAAACGTTTATGTCCGCCGTAGTTTAGTCGCTTATAGACTTGCGTCAGATTCAAGGCTCAGAGAGATGCGTCCCGCTAGGAATTGTACTTTCCGATTACAATCCACGTAGTGCCAGTTCCGGCCCACCGCTCCATACAGGAAAAAGTACCACTGGGATAACTGGAGGGTGTGGTCAGACCAAGAACGTAACAGAACCCGCTGTTACAATTCCCCGGTCAAACAGTGGCGATCCCCGCAAACCATGAATTAAGAGGGAGGTTTTCATCGAAGGGTGCCAGACCGTGGCTGGATCAATGCACTCTATAGGAATTATAGGAGCTCCCGCTAAAACCGGACCATCTGCAGAGAAATAAAGCTACAAATTAGGATCACCCCACGTGACATTATAGTGCAGCGCGAAACACTAATTACATACTCATGACCTTTAAGTATACTGCTCCCTCAATACGATGCCGCTTAGTTTTGCAACTATTTGAAGCACTCATGCAATATGTCATGAAAAGTCCATCCATTGACCCCTGAAGTTAACACGGGAAAATGCCGCCTTGGAAAATCTTACACAACATACCAAGGTGCATCGCAAGGAACCTTTCATCTAAGACCTCGATCTTGACTTTTTTTTAATAATATACAGTTTGTAGTTTGTTTATTTATAACGGTCAGTTAGGTTTACTACATAAAATGAAAATTGTTGTAACGAGGAAACTGTTAATTGGGGCTCGCTAGTGTCTCATTGGTACTCAATCAACCAGGGCGTTAATCGCCAAATTAACTCCATAAATTTCATATACTGGTGACAGAAACAGAAAAAAAAGGAAACTTGAGTGAGTGCATGCGGTTATAGCAGTCGATTACCCGCGAGTAATTTTTTTCTTCTACTCTTTCACTAAACAACTGTTGCTGGAGGTAATATAGATACAATTGTACTGGTACATGCTATTAAATCGATTGAATTAAATACCGTCTTACTCAAATAAGCGTCGCTCCCCCTGATACAATCAAAATCAAAAGATGTTAATTCTGTAATAAATCAATACGCAAGATAATAATATCATAGTTAAAATAATGCTTTGTCGAGTCCAACTTTCAAATAAACGCCGCCATCGAATAAGCGCCGCATTTGAGGAGTAGACATTTTTATACGCACCGCGGCGCTTATTCGAGTAAATACGGCAAATGATTATGACATTCGGCGAACCTTCTGCTTCAGTCATCCACTGTCCTTTATCCTATTCTCTTTTGCTTCTCTTTCGACGAGGTTCTTCGTCACCTTGATATGAAAAATAAACCAACGAAAGATTTAATTTTAGGATTCAGTTTATCACTTCCTAAGACGTGTTACAAACAGATGTTATAAAACCAGGTACAGATGCTCAATCAATCAAATTGAATTTCAAATTAACACAAAATACCGTATGTTTGCTTTGATACCGAGTTTCACGGAACAAAGTAAGGTTACGTTCTGTTTATATTGTTGTGAAGTATTTTCTAGGTTATTCAGTATGAACTATTGATTTACATGACGCTGACTTTTAGCCTACCTTCAGGCACCCGATGCGCTTTATGCTGCTTTCTTTTCTTTCTCTTCCGTGGAGATTCTTCGTCACCTAAATGTACAAAAGAACAACCAAAAAGTTTTCATTTAATGTACATAACTTCTTGAGACTTGCTCATAAGAGGCTACTATGATATATAAAGACACAGACTTCCACTCCATAAAAGGCTCTCAGGCCTGTGCTGCAACCACGAATATTTGCCTTTCTTAAAGGTCTTCAAACAAATCTGTTGTAGCTGCTTGATCATGTTGATATCGGATTTCATGGAACAAAATAAGCTGTTACCGTACAACTTGGAAAGTAACGGGAGAGGTTTAGCGGATCAAAGAGGTCGTTCCTTTCGGTCAGTGGTTACTTTCGGGTATTTAAAAAGTGTTTGTAGTATAGCAATCGTTTACAAGAAGAGATGATTTCAAGGTTAACCAGGAAAGGCAAAACGCGTTTGGCATCTCCACGTTTTTTTAATCCAGCTGAGGGCAATTAATTCGTAGACTGGCACTAAAAACGAGTTTTTAGGGGATTCTAATAGGGAATTACGATTTGCAGTTTAAACTAAAAATAACATTTAATTCATTCCGTATTCACTGCTTATATAGTTCTGCAGCAGTAAGTAAAGGGTTTGTCGGGCCAATAACGGGTTCGGATAAACCAACATATTTGCTACGTAGTTATTAAAGAGGAGACCATGATTTCCTAGATGCCGTCATCGTTCTACTCAGTGGCTTTGCCGTTTCTCCGGGTCATTTACCCGCCGTACCTGTGCACGGAAACGGTGTATCTTAGTAAGGTCCCCTATATAAGAGATATTGCATTCTTCTGTTCTTGAGAGGCTATTTTTGAAAGGGGCGCAATTTTCAGGAGAATCGCTACTCTCGTGGGACCGTTCCATTCGAGGTTCCAGTGAAAGACAGAAAATAATCGTTCCTTTCGAGGGGCCATTAGTTTTGGAATTGTCGACACACGTCATTGGTTTACATGAAGCTTATGACTTTCACCATACCTTGTTCTGTCACCCGACCCTCTTTATGCTTTTTTTCTCGTCTTTCCCTTCCTCGTAGATTCTTTGCCGCCTACATATAAAAGAAGACAACCGAAAGAATTTAATTTTGTGTTCATGACTTTCTAAGAACTAAATAGCTACTACAATATAAAATGATACCAGCATCCATGGTAACTACTGTTAGCCTGAATTTCAGTCGTCTCCTCGAGTCGCAAACTCCCGTGAAAAACGTCTGAATCAACGAGCCGCTAACGCCGTCCAGTGACGTCACTACCCGAAAACCGGGAAGTGATTTTGATTGGTTGATTGTCCAAACATTCTAAACTACTCTTTTACTATGATAAAGGAAACGATTTAACTGTATGTTCGCGTCTTCTTAAGACCTGTTAATAAACAGCTACTAAAATAAAGTCACAGACTTCCACTCAATCAGAGGTTAACTTCTGATGCAGCTATACTTAATTAGCCGCTCCCGATCCTTCAACAACTGTTTTTCGACTGATTGATAGCGGGTTTCTGGCAAGAAATATAGAAACGTCTGTTACAAACCACTGATCTAAACTGATTAACGCCATGACTTTCAGCGTACCTTTATCTCTCCGGCGTTCTTTGTGCTCCTTATGCGTCCTTCTCTTTTGTGACGTCCCTTCAACAACTGATTGATAGCGGGTTTCTGGCAAGGAACAAATTTATAGAAACGTCTGTTACAAACCATTGATCTTAACTGATTAACGCCATGACTTTCAGCGTACCTTTATCTCTCCGGTGTTCTTTGTGCTCCTTATGCGTCCTTCTCTTTTGTGACGTCTCTTCAACGACTGATTGATAGCGGGTTTCTGGCAAGGAACAAATTTATAGAAACGTTTGTTACAAACCATTGATCTAAACTGATCAACGCCATGACTTTCAGCGTACCTTTATCTCTCCGGCGTTCTTTGTGCTCCTTATGCGTCCTTCTCTTTTGTGACGTCTCTTCAACGACTGATTGATAGCGGGTTTCTGGCAAGGAACAAATTTATAGAAACGTTTGTTACAAACCATTGATCTAAACTGATCAACGCCATGACTTTCAGCGTACCTTTATCTCTCCGGCGTTCTTTGTGCTCCTTATGCGTCCTTCTCTTTTGTGACGTCTCTTCAACGACTGATTGATAGCGGGTTTCTGGCAAGGAACAAATTTATAGAAACGTTTGTTACAAACCATTGATCTAAACTGATCAACGCCATGACTTTCAGCGTACCTTTATCTCTCCGGCGTTCTTTGTGCTCCTTATGCGTCCTTCTCTTTTGTGACGTCTCTTCAACGACTGATTGATAGCGGGTTTCTGGCAAGGAACAAATTTATAGAAACGTTTGTTACAAACCATTGATCTAAACTGATCAACGCCATGACTTTCAGCGTACCTTTATCTCTCCGGCGTTCTTTGTGCTCCTTATGCGTCCTTCTCTTTCGTGACGTCCCTTCAACGACTGATTGATAGCGGGTTTCTGGCAAGGAACAAATTTATAGAAACGTTTGCTACAAACAATTGATCTAAACTGATCAACGCCATGACTTTCAGCGTACCTTTATCTCTCCGGCGTTCTTTGTGCTCCTTATGCGTCCTTCTCTTTTGTGACGTCCCTTTAACGACTGATTGATAGCGGGTTTCTGGCAAGGAACAAATTTATAGAAACGTTTGTTACAAACCATTGATCTAAACTGATTAACGCCATGACTCTCAGCGTACCTTCATCTCTCCGGCGTTCTTTGTGCTCCTTATGCGTCCTTCTCTTTTGTGACGTCCCTTCAACGACTGATTGATAGCGGGTTTCTGGCAAGGAACAAATTTATTGAAACGTCTGTTACAAAGGATTGATCTAAACTGATTAACGCCATGACTTTCAGCGTACCTTTATCTCTCCGGCGTTCTTTGTGCTCCTTATGCGTCCTTCTCTTTTGTGACGTTCCTTCAACGACTGATTGATAGCGGGTTTCTGGCAAGGAACAAATTTATAGAAACGTTTGTTACAAACCATTGATCTAAACTGATCAACGCCATGACTTTCAGCGTACCTTTATCTCTCCGGCGTTCTTTGTGCTCCTTATGCGTCCTTCTCTTTCGTGACGTCCCTTCAACGACTGATTGATAGCGGGTTTCTGGCAAGGAACAAATTTATAGAAACGTTTGCTACAAACAATTGATCTAAACTGATCAACGCCATGACTTTCAGCGTACCTTTATCTCTCCGGCGTTCTTTGTGCTCCTTATGCGTCCTTCTCTTTTGTGACGTCCCTTTAACGACTGATTGATAGCGGGTTTCTGGCAAGGAACAAATTTATAGAAACGTTTGTTACAAACCATTGATCTAAACTGATTAACGCCATGACTCTCAGCGTACCTTCATCTCTCCGGCGTTCTTTGTGCTCCTTATGCGTCCTTCTCTTTTGTGACGTCCCTTCAACAACTGATTGATAGCGGGTTTCTGGCAAGGAACAAATTTATTGAAACGTCTGTTACAAAGGATTGATCTAAACTGATTAACGCCATGACTTTCAGCGTACCTTTATCTCTCCGGCGTTCTTTGTGCTCCTTATGCGTCCTTCTCTTTCGTGGCGTCCCTTCAACGACTGATTGATAGCGGGTTTCTGGCAAGGAACTAAATTATAAAAACGTCTGTTACAAACCATTGATCTAAACTGATTAACGCCATGACTTTCAGCGTACCTTTATCTCTCCGGTGTTCTTTGTGCTTCTTTCGCTTCCTTCTCTTTCGTGAAGTCCCTTCAACGCCTAGTTATTAAAAAAAACAACAACAAATGATTTAATTTTGTATTCATCAGTCTCTAATGGTAAAACAACTTTTAATTATTTGATAAACAGAAACTACAGGGACATATATCTCTACTCAATCGTAAGGATGTATGCCTTGGGCTTTTCTGCTTGGATATTTTAGTGTCAGAAACTGTATGAATTGAAGTGAACGATAAAACTTTATTAGCGTACCTTCAGTCATCCGATGCACTTTACGCTTTTTTCTTTTCTTTCTTTTTCGCGGAGACCCTTCGTCACCTAGATATGTAACGAAAAACAGCCAAGAACTGTTTTATTTTAGAATTAAGAGACAGGTTTTCACTCATTCGGAAGTTGATAAAAAGGTTCTGCAACTACGCCTGCTGTCCAGTCTCACAGGATTTTAAACGAACTGACCTTCCACTTTCACGTAACAAAGAAATTCGCATTCTGTTAAAATGTATGGATTTAAATAAACGTTGTATCAAATAGCTCACCCGCTTCGGTCCTTTGCTCTGCTTTCTCCTTTTTTCTTTTCTTTTTCTTTCGCCGAGGTTCGTCAATTTCTAGTTATAAAAAAAGCAGCGAGGGGTAAGTTCATTCCAAAGTATTTCCAAATAGTGGCGAGTGATCCATCGGCGTATCCAAACACTATAATAAACAACATTGCATAATTTAAACCTAGCATGGACACGTAGGGAAAAACGAAATGAGTTTTCGTCTTTGTAATCAAAAGGTGTCACAACAAAATGTACTTAGTACAGTATAAAGGACAAAATAAGGTCCCTCCTTTCTGTTATAAACTATAATATGGATTTCATATGGATTACAATATGGATTTAGAATACCTTCAGTCATCTCCCGCACTCTCCGCTTTTTTCTTGCTTTCTGTTTACTTCCAGGGGATTCTTCTATAACTATAAAATCAATTTTGTATGACTCAGTTTCTAAGAATTGGTTGGGAAACAGACATTATACAAAGGAACAGCGTTAATGCGGTCAGCAAATGGAGATGCTGAAGTGTTCGTATTGTCCGGCTGTCCGGAATGGAAAACCTGGTTTGATAGTATTTACCTTTTATTATTATTATTATTATTATTATTATTATTATTATCATTATCATTATTAACTTAAAAAGTACTTATAAACAGACTAATGAACAAACATAATCGTGAAAGTCCGATTTCTTTCACCTAAATTTCGGAGCTTTGCGTGACGACACTAAAAACGGCTGTGTAGCAGACTAGTCTACACCGCAATTATTACAAATGCAGGAAATCTCACAAGATAGAACTGACGTCTGACCGAAACGAACTTTTGTACAACTTCTTATTAGTGATCAGGGCTTTAATGCCAACAGGTTTTGTTACATCGGTAACTGGGACGGCAGATAACTTGGGGGGACAGGGGACAATAAACCTTACCAGTAGGATCTGGAGGCGCTGGAAATGTTCCCACGGTGTCTTGAGCGTCAGCGGGGAATGGTGAGTCGTGAATACTGAGGCAAGTCTCTGCCAGAATCTGTGCGAGTGGTAAAAGAAAAAAAGAGCTGATGAGCTTGTTTCAGGCTTTCAGATAGTGGAGAGTGGCACTTTCCACTATCTGAACGCCTGGTGCAGGATAGGAGTTGATAAGCCAATAAGATGATTGAGCAAAAGAAACTCTTCTACAAAGACAGAACCTAAGTAGCCGAACCAATATTCTGTTCACTGGTCGGTTCTAAGCCTCAAGCTCTTTGCTTGCTTAAAATGCGTAACAAGGCTCTACTCAGTGCAGTGAGAACGTTGACATTTTCATCTCATGTCATGTTAAGATGGTGGATGGGGCACTGTGATGATGGGTGTGGATATCTGGTGAGGAGTAATGCTCTGAATATTGAACGTGAGGTACACAAAACGCTTCAATCGACCGTCCACGATAGTATGATTATACAAATATTCATTTTACTAATGAAGTCGAACTCGAGAATGCCTTGAAACGGTCGACACGTCGTTTATTTTGGCGTTAATTTTAAGGGTAGAAGTCTTATAACTTACCTGGTCCTGGTTGTCTTCTGATTCATATGATGACATTTCTTCAGCTGTTTCTTCTTCAGACTGTATGATTTCTTCCTCATCCTGCCACAAATCACACACTTAACACTATACACCATCCATTTCTTATCTTTTAGGATCGTTATTTCAGTCTTCATGCACACAACGAGAGTTTTAGTCCCTGATTCAAGTCAATAAAAATTGAAAATGCCATAGTAAATCTAATCTTCTAACAGTGTCACTATTCCAAGATAAAGGGACCAAATAATTGACGCAAGTCTTGTTGATTAAAAAGTGAATCTGTATCAAAAATCTTAGATATTAGGAAGAGTAACGTTTAAAGTCATACCATAAAACTTAAAAAACATCAACAATACTTCATTAAGAAAATTCAAATTAAATTAAAATTTAAGGCAAGTTTTTAAATCTGATAAAACATGGCCGAGAACAAGGAAAAAACAAAAAAACAAGTAAATAATAACAAACTCAACCCATCAACTATTAAAAACTCGTGAAAAACACTTGGCTACACATTGTGTTTTAAAGCCGATAACTCACCCACTCTTCCTCATCCTCATCCTCAGATTCAGATAATGAATCAGCCTGACAAAAAAAAAACAACACTCAGCTACTAGTCATAATCATTATTGCAATAACCGGTGATGTTAAACATGACATTTCAAACAGAAGGAAGCCCTTCGTAGAGGAATGTGAGGTTTTAAAGACAGAATGTAAAGGTTTTCATGCCCTTGATGGCCTTCGTTAATTACAAAATATGAACAGCTTCTTTTTACTGACGTAGCAAAAGACTGGATCCTATTAAAATTTGAATGCAATTCGCAAATCCATTATTAGGGAAAGATTCTCCTCGATTATTTCCGATGAATAGAAAAACAGAACTCCATGTCCAATTGATGACAGTTTAGGAATAACATTTGCTAAGTAAATCACGGCAAAACTTTAAATTAAACCGGGGTTAAAATACAAAAAAAACCATGGCAAAAAACCGTGCCTTCTTTTATGATGAATCAGGAAATCTGAGTTTAGGGTACTCTGCTTTACATACATACATCCTTTATTATCTTTCCTTAAACAAGGCTTTTCAATGTTAGGAATTGCCTCCAAAGCTGAACGATCTTCTAACACACTCACAGAAATCCCGATTCACTCGTTTTATTTCTTTCTTCCCGTCTCCTCTTGATTCTCACAGTACATTACATTCTCTCCTTTCTATTGTTCTTTTTCCTTTCAGTTCCAAAGTTCAATGCTATCAGGTTCCAACGTCACTTAACACTTCTTTTAAATCACGTTACTTAATCAAATGAAACTTAAACTCGTGTTTACAAAGATAATGGTAATAAAACACCGCACAATTTCCGACACCCTCCCCCCATATGCCTACATTTAGGAGGCATATGTTGCGTTTATCTCCAGAAACTGAATCAAAACTAAAAGTTCTTGTAAGTGAAATCGATAAAAAGAAACAAAGGATCAATGTTCAAAACTCTACACGGAGTCGTCTTAAATTCAAATGTTCAATGTTCAATTGGCTTGCTCTTCGTCAGCAATATCTTGCATTCGTACTCTCGCTGCAATTGCTGCGTCCCGGGTGGGTCTGAACTCTCGAGCCTCCGGGTTTAGCTGTTCCTGGGGTGTCAAAGGCGTCCGGTCGCACGACAGTTCCAAGGGGTAGAGATGATTTACTGCTCTCTCTAGGTGACCACCTCCCGCCCGCAGCTTAACTCCTCGAACCACTCCATCCCGGCCAGTGTACAGCTTCTCTACTATCCCCAGTGGCCATTTCCCTCTGTTTCGATCTTCCGAATGAACTATGACAACATCGCCAACAGTCAAAGTGCTTCCCTTCCCGTCATGTTTCAAGTTATGTCGCTCGCGAAGGCCTCTGAGGTACTCCTTGGTCCACCTGGTCCACATGGCGTCTTTACACCTTTTCATGTACTTAGCCCGTTTACGTAGATCACGAAGCTCACGATGTGGTTCCTTCTCTGGTAGGATAGTGGTACCGATGAACTGCATACTGTTAGGTGTGATCAAAGGTAATTGAACATCATCCTCCACGTAACCTAGTGGGCGGTTGTTTAAGGTCACTTCCACATCCAGGAGTACATCTTCAAGTTCCCCCCATCTGAGGCGACCATTTCCAATCGTTTTGTTAAGGGAACGCTTCACCAGGCCAACTAACCGCTCAAACTGACCGCCCCACCATGGGGCGCGGCTCAAATTGAATTGCCACTGGATGTTCTCAGTCGACAGGTAATGGTGAAACTGCTCATCTTGCTGGACTTGTTTTAGCCAACTTGCTGCGGCAACAAACGTTTTTGCGTTGTCCGAATAAATCTTCTCCGGCCTTCCTTTCCTGGCTATTAGGCGCTTTAGACTTCTTAGAAACTCGCTAGTCTCCATGCTCTTGCTGAGTTCCAAATAGAGTGCTCGCGTAAGGCTGCAAGCGTAAAGGATTATGTATGCCTTTCCTTCCTTCTTCTGGGTCACACGGTACTTGATGGGTCCCGCGAAGTCAACTCCGACAACTTGAAAGGCGCGATTTCCTTCGGTTCTGTCTCGTGGTAAATTTCCAGGTGGTGGTCTAGCAGCGGCCCTAACTTGGAAACGGCGACAACCATAACACTGCTTGATCACTTTTTTGGTCAGACGCCTGAGCCTCGGCACCCAATAACGCTCTCTGATGCGCGCCATTGTCAAACCGACTCCCCCATGCAAAGTACGACGATGGGCTTCTTCAACGAGTTTCACTGTGTAGGGGTGCATGTCAGGCAGATAGACTGGGTAGTGTCCCTGAACTCGACCTCGACAGACGAGAATCCCCTGCTCATTCTCTTTTAACCCCAGCCTTTGCCGGTCTTCTGTCACTTCATCACCTTGAATCTCTTGAGCGCGCTTGGTCCAGAACAGATGTTGTTCATTAATCTCGTAGGTTGTCAGCGGTCCCGCCATTCTTTCTTGTTTCTTTAGGCGTGAATTTCGCATGAATCTCGCGGCCCAGGCGACAATTCTTAACGTCTTTATCAGGCTAAACTTTCCCAGTAGATCATCAAGGCAGTCAGTTGATGCAGTGGCTCCATTAAAAGTTCTTTGGTAACTTTAGCCTCTGTTTGGCTCTCAGGAGTAGCGCTTGTCACGATGTCTGTAGGCCACCTGTCTTTGTCTGAAAGCCACTCCGGTCCTTGCCACCACAGCTTGCTGTCATCGACTTGCCCTCCTCGACTTCCCAGGTCTGCCGGATTTTCCTTGGTGGGCACATGGCGCCAATAGATCTCTGAATGCCCTTGTATTTTCATCACTCTATTTGCTACGAACTGTTTGTACTCGCCACCACCCTTTATCCAATGGAGAGCCACTGAGCTGTCCAGCCATCCATAGCACTGTTTCACGGGAAAACCCTGGAGCGCTCTTCCTACATTTGTGATAAGATTTGCTGCCATATGCGCCGACACCAGCTCTAATCGCGGAATGGTGAGCCCCTGCTTCGCTAGTCGAGCTTTTGCAGTAACCAATCCCTGGCTCACACCCGATGGCTGTGTCTCACAACTGCATGCACTGTTGCACACACTCCGTTCTTACTTGCATCCCCGAAGGCGTGAAGCTCGATTTCTTCAATCTGCTCTTGCGCACACGTTAAGGCCCTTGCTACCATGACCTCGGCTGGTAACTCCTTCTTCCATCGTGTCCACCGATTTGCTAGCTGTGGGGGTAGCGGCGCATCCCAGGCCACTTTCACGTTGCATACATCTCTGTAGATGAACTTTCCCTTGATAGTTAAAGGCGCCGCAAGACCAAGGGGATCGTAGATTTTTGCTAGATTACGCAACAATGCTCTTTTGGACGCGACTACCTCATTTTGAGGCAAAACGACACTGATCTGGTCTTCCTGTTTGTCCCACGGGAGTCCAAGCAAACCACCGGTCTTTGCTTTTGATTGGCCGAGCTGCTGTTTGGCAAACGTGTCCTCATCTTCGACTCTTCTTTCACTCCCTTCTAACTCGGCAACATTCGAGTGCCACTTGTGCAGTGTGAATTTAGCGTCCGCGAAGATTTTAATAGCTCCCTCTTTCAGCTGTTGCGCTTCGGGTACTGTTGGTTTCCCGCTGATCAGATCGTCTACATACAGGCTTTTGCGCAGTTCAGCAACAAGTTGTGGCATGTGAGTTTCCCAGGTTTCAAGATGACACTCTATCACTCCCCCGAGGAGAAAGGGAGAAGGCACAAGACCAAACAGCGCTCGAGTAAATCTCAACACTTCTACTTCAGAATGTTCGCTGGTCTTCCAATGAAACCTGAGTGCATCTCTCTCTTCCTCCTTGATGCGCACCTGGAGAAAGGCCTGTTGCAGGTCCCCAGTGATAAGGACTGGATGGAAACGCATGCGTACCAAAACACTCCACAGGTGATTTTGAAGCGGCGGCCCGGCATACAGACAATCATTTAAGCTTGGAACTTGGGGTTTCGCACGAGATGAGGCGTCATAAACGATCCTCAACTTTGTAGTTTCAGCTCCCATACGAATCACCGGCTTGTGGGGAATGTAGAATTCTTTTCCCTGCGGCGGATCACTTGCAACTTCTACTATTCCCTCGGACTTCTGTTTTCCGATGATCTCTGCATAAGTCTCGGTCACATCCAAGCGTCGAAGTCTGTTGTGGAGGTTGCTGAGCCTTCGCAAACTGACTTCTTTATGGTTCGGTAAAGGCGGGTGGTTACCTTTCCATGGCAGCGAGGCTTCATACCAGCCTTCGGGATGCCGTACCAATTGCTCTCGGAACTCTGCGTAGACTGCGCGCTGATCATGTTCAGGGGTATCTTCAAGCCCTAGAACGTCTAACCGACATAGTTCTACATAGTCCACGTGACTCGTTTGGGTCAGCAGCATATTCCCGTGGTCAATCTCAGTTCCCGGTGACATAATAGTCCACCCCAGCTTAGTCTTCTCTGCCACTGGTTCCCCTGGCAGTCCAACGCGCGGCCGTTCGGACGTCTTGATCGCTGCATACTCGCTCGCCCCTAATATCAGATGTACTGGAAGATGTGGCTTAGGGTCGCAGTCCGTCATCTCAACTCCCTTTAGATGATCGTACGAATTGATAATCTTTTGATAGTGTGGGTTATCGATCATCAGCAATTCCCGTCTTTCCACCTTGGTAACATCAACGTTTAATTCTTCACTGCCATCCGTTGAGCGTACTTTGATTGTGGAAAGTTCTACTTCACGTGTGGTCGATCCCAGCATCATTTCTATTCGACGAACCTCCTTTGCACGAGGGCGCTTGGGAAGTTTCTCTAACAGCGCGGCCGAAGCATATGAACTCCCAGCTCCTGTATCTAGAAGTGCACGACACAGTACTCCCTCCACGCTTACTTTCACAACAGGATAAACTACACGCCCTTTGTTCCCGGTGGCAGTCATTAATTGGTCTCCTTGGTTGCAAATCGATGTATGATGTTTCTGTCCGCACTTCTGGCAACGCATTTTACTCTTGCATTCGGCAGCATGGTGTTTCGGCCCAGTACAATTAAAGCACATTCGTTTCCGCGCGAGCATTCTCTTCCTCTCGTCCATCGTGGACACGCGCGTGCAATCCCGCGAGATGTGATTGGCGTCATCACAGTAAACACAAAGGCGCTGGTTTCTATTTTCTGCATGGTACAGGGGAGATTTTTTCTCAGGGCGCTTGGGGAGCGTAGACTTGTTTGCGACGTTATTTTCTTCAGTCGCTGGGTTTACATCTCTCCATTTCTTCAGGGCCTGGGTCAAACGAGGTAGATCCCAGTCTTGCCAGTTTTCTTGTCGCCTGACCAGATCGGCTTTAATTCCTTTCAACTTGTCTAGCACGCTTCTTGTCATCCCGTTTACTCTCTCGATTTTTCCAAGTGTTTCCAGTGACTGGACGTTAAATAGCAGGATTTTATAGAAAGAATTCACTCGGTTCGGGTCGGCGTTCGTCACGGTGGGGAGTTCCAGAATGTTATTGACGTAGGCGTTGACAATTTCACTCGTTTTCCCATACTCTTCCTTTATTATGTTTTTCGCTCTTTCATATCCTTCTGTATTTAGCGGCAAGCCATCGATATCCGCCCTGACTTTGGGCTCCACTAGCTCTTTCAAGTAGGCGAACTTTGTCACTGGCGCTAATTCCGTTTTGTCGATTTCGGCCTCGAATTTATTCCAGAACGGCGGCCAATTTGCAAGTGTTCCGTCGAATTTTGTGATAGAAAGCTTTGGCAGCTTTGCAGTCACGGTTTTCTTTGCATTTTGTTCTTGCTGACTGGCTTCTACGGCCTTTTGAAATCTCACTTGTTGATCTAACAGCTCACGCTCATGGCTCATTCGCTCCTCGTGTTTCATCTTCGCGAGGGCCATTTCCTTTTTATCAGATTCCATCCTGTCTGCCAGTCGCTTGTCTTCTTCCATTTTCCCCACTAGTTGTCTTATTGCCAAGGCCTTTTCATCCGCTTCCTTTAGAAATTTGTCGTGCTCTTTCACCCAAGTGCTGACCTCCTCCTCTGATTCACCATTTGTAAATTTCAGCTCGATAATGGATTCTTTCACGGTATGAGCGGACTGCAATTTAGACATTAATAGTGCCTCGTGTCTCGATATAGCTTCTGCGTTTTGGGAAGCGATCACTTCATCATTCTTAGTCAGAGAGAATCTTAGAGACAGAATCTTTCCGTTAAATTCTTTCGTAAGTTCCTCCATCGCGTTGGCCCTTTTCAGCTTTAGCGTTGTTTTGGCCGATTTGCCAAATCTCAGCGAATCCCTTGGTCACGTCGCTATGTACTTGATTTTTCGCAAATCCCTTGCTCTTGTTTGAGCTAAAATCCCGATAGGTCCCGTCGGAGGTGCCAATTGTGTTAGGAATTGCCTCCAAAGCTGAACGATCTTCTAACACACTCACAGAAATCCCGATTCACTCGTTTTATTTCTTTCTTCCCGTCTCCTCTTGATTCTCACAGTACATTACATTCTCTCCTTTCTATTGTTCTTTTTCCTTTCAGTTCCAAAGTTCAATGCTATCAGGTTCCAACGTCACTTAACACTTCTTTTAAATCACGTTACTTAATCAAATGAAACTTAAACTCGTGTTTACAAAGATAATGGTAATAAAACACCGCACAATTTCCGACATCAAAGATAATTACAAAAAATATAATTACAAATAAAATGGAGTACAGTAAATATATAAAAAGTGGATTGGTAAAATTATCTAAGAGCTAAAAATTAATCACTATATACGATCATACATAAAATACAAGAAATATCGTTTATAAAGTCCTATGTCGAACAAAGTAGCTTACTTTTGAGCTTTCGTTTTCTTTCCAATAATCCTCTGATGGCCACTGATCTTCAGGTTTGGGGTCGCCATTTTGCTCCTAAAAACAAATGTCAACAGAACAACAAACATTGAATGTAAGGCTTTAAGGTGTACACATTTTTTCACGATTATTTCGGGAAAGGTTGTCGAAAAAATGTGCTCGCGACAATCGACGACAAACCCGCGGGTTATATGGAATATGATCAATACACTGTTCCTGACACTGTAGCTGTCGAGCCTACTATTGTTGCTTTCCTCTTAGCAATCAAACATATGCCCATGGCCTCTCGTGCCATTCTCCTAAATTTCTTTGAAGAACAGTTAACTCAAAACCACCCACAATACCTTTCGGAATTGTCGCATGCACTATATCTGACAACCTTTTTCGAAATAGCTCTATATACCTCATTGAAAACTGATCACAGGACAGGTTTTTAAAAAGGCGAGGTGAAAACTCTACTTTTAGTAACTTTAGGCCACTAGCGCTTCAGACTGGCCAGGTGCAATACAGGTACAGCATTAAAAGACTGACACAGTTTAATTCTTATTACACGGCCCTCTTTGAAGCAGCGAACCCTTTAATTCCCAGAAGCTGCTTCCCATATATTTACTGTAAATTTAACCTCTACTGAGCAGTCGCCTCTGTAAAACGAGCAGCAACCCTATAGACGTTCCAACTGGCTACTTTCATTGTACTTCCAGGAGCCGTAGCTAGAAAGGGGGCGGGGGGGAGGTACTAAAGCGTCTGTTTCCTTCATTTTGCACAAAGCTAGAAAATCGCCGATACAGTCAACGCTAAAATCCCTAAAATTAGTGTCTTCGAATATAAAGGATATCGTGGCCGTCTTACAGTATCCAAATTTTTCGCAAAAACCATCGCTTGAAAGTCTTGAAAGTTCACTTTGTTGATGATTTCTCAACTGTACGTTCCAAAACGTTTTCACAGGGAACAGTTATTGGCCTTCAATTTTCTGAAACAAACCTACTGATTCTAATTTTCCGCAATAAAAAGTTCATTTTGGTGGGCAAATGGCTCTTAAAAGACTTATTTTGAACAGGAAATGTTCCCTTCCCCGATGCAGGGTAGTAGGCGTGGACGAGGTGTGGACCCAAAACTGCAAGGCGGAAAAAGGCGGGAATGCTGGCGTTATGCGCCAACGAGACGCGGGAAAATGCTACCACGTGACACATCATTATTGACAGGCTCATTCCTTGTGTTCAGATTTAACCAATCAGCTGTCGCCACGTCACAAGCCTTCTCTCACGCCACTTTGAATGACAGTTTGTTGATTTTGTAGTTTGTTGTTCACTTCAGTTGAGTTTGCTCATCAAAGAAAACTTTCAACGCAAAAATACTCAAGATGGACACAAAAAGAATAAGAAAACACCGTAAAATGCCAGTTAAGAGAAAAATTCGTCTCACGTACTCAGGAATTTGTCAAAGGATTTGTGCAAGCTAAAGGAAACTACATTTAAGAACTTCAACTCATTCATACAAGACACGAAGTGACGCAGGATTTCTTGTGTTCGTCGTAGAACTGGGAAACAAGTAACCGACAAAAATAAACAGCTAGTACCAAAGAGGAGTGCTTTACCTATGATTTAATGTATGGTGTTAAATTTTTAACCAAAGTGTCTCAGAGGAATTATATTTTTTGTGGAACGCTATCTCAAAACACTACGCTACAGTGAGGTTATTTACGGGAGGACAAGCATTGGGCTATTGCATTTAAAATCCGTACCCCCCGGTTGAAGACTTACCTTTTCTTCTTACCCCTTAAGATTGGCTAAAATTGCTTTCCCCCCTGAAGACTTCCGTGAAATATGGGTTTACCCCTGAAGAATTGGGTCATACCCCTGAAGAATTTTGTGAAAATTAAGGCTTCACCTCCAAAGAATTCCATATTTTTTTTACTCTACCCCTTAAGAAATCCTCAATTTCTATAACTCACCCCTGGCGAATTCCATGGTCCCTCAACCGGGGGGGTGCGGATATTAAATGTAATAGCCCATTTACCGAAACGCAAGGGACATTCAAACAAAAGGACAGCTCTAAAAAGACTTCTTCGTTTTCTGGACTCTCAAAGAAACTTTACTTGAGTTTTGCTGATTTTACGAAAACCTTAGCGATAAAAGTGAAATTGTAAGTGGTTAACCTTTTTTCTCTTGATTTTTGCAAATTTTGTTTGTTTGAATTGAACATGAACAGAACATTTTTTGATTTTATGCTTGTTATTCATCATTTTATGAAAAGTAATGAATAAAAATTGATTGAGGAATTAATACTATGGAATTTTTGTGTTAATACATATATCACAAGTTTGTTAAGTGAGCTCATATCGAGTTGAACCAGACTCGAAGAGAAATTTCATATCTGCTCGCTGATCCATTATTTTGCACAGTGAAAACACCTTCAGATTAATTTACTTGTTCTCGGTTAAAACATTTTTTTGGATTTAGTTTAATCAATTGAAAGGAATGAGTTTGAAATGATACATTGAATCTGCTAAAGTTTGTGATTTGTTTTCAAAAGTAAATCTCGTGTTTTGTCGAGTACAAAAATGACAAAGAAATGAAAAAGGGCGAAAGGCAAGAGCTGAGTAGAAATAAACTGTAAACAAAGAATAAAGAAACAAATTGCGATAAAATTGGAAAACTTACGTGGTAGTCTGACCACAGTCCAGTGATGTTGCCGCGGTGCTTGATGGCTTCTGTCAGATTCATCACCTGCTGTGGAGTCATCTTCACTCCTCCAAGCGCCAGTATCTTCAGGTGAGGAGCGCAGCTGAGATGTTCAATCAAGCTGTCTACTCCTGCACCCAGAAGAGGATTGAATGACATGATGAGCCACTCCAAGTTTGGTGCTTTTTGAAATAAACTGTTGATGAACTCCACAGCAGGTGATGATGTTACATTGATACGACTGAGTATTAATGTATTCAGTTTGTGTGTTACTTGGATGCTCCTCAGCAGAGACTCTGTTACCTCAGCATCGTACACTTCATCGTCTTTACCCCGAACCTCTATCCTGTATGGAGCGGTGATAAACGGCATCACCTCAGTCAGCAGTTCCACATCTGACCTGTTCACATGAGCAGCTACAATCTCCCGAGCCCTGGAGAGAACATGACGCTTTGAACAACAGCTGCTGCTGCTCTCTTCACTTGACTCATCACCATTCATGTTTGTCTTCTTTGTTGTCTCTTGTTTACTTATTAGCGCCTTAATTATATCATAAGGTTGAACAATATAAGCAAAATAAAGGTGAGTGCTGCTTTCTTCTTTCTTTAAAAAAAAATTATCAATCCTACGCAATGTTGAGTTGCTTAAATATTCTGATGCTTTCTTTTCTCCTCCACAACTAACAATAACTGCGCTTAATTGTTGTAATAAAATTACTAAATTACTATAGTCCATCCCTTTAAAACCATAGTATTCTTTGCTAAAAACGTAGTTGGGTGTTTCGGTAGTTTGAGCTAATTTTTCTTGTACGATAACATTTAGCTGCTCTCCATCAATTACAAGAACTCCTCCTAAAGAGGAAAGAAATGTAGGAAAGAGGTTTTTTCTTGTCTCAGCTGAGCAGTAGAAAAATAAATGATTACAAAGATTAATAAAATCTGTTTGTTCTTCTGACAAGTCCTCCTGTGACGGTGTTTCGTTGTCGAATTTGAACTCTTTCAGTCCGCTCTTCATTCCAAGGTGAATCACAATCTCGCGCGCGGCTTCTTCTGACAACTGAACAGCGAATTTTAAAACCTCGAACATCTCTTGGATCTTTTTAACTGAGTCCAACTTCAAAAGGGAATTTGTGCTTTCAACCTTTCTAGATGCCAGCTCTTCTTTCAGGAAATTCCCAGCCAGGTATTCTTGTACGGATTTGTGAATAAAGTACACGCCTTTTTCACGATTCAAACTCGCCATATTTAAAACCTGAAAAAGGCCGACTTCAATCAGCCTCTCGATCAAACTGTAGCCAGCAGGTAACTGACTAACAGGGAAATAAAGCTGGCCTTGCAAAAGGGCTTCAAAGGCCAAGCGTCCTAATGCGTATAATTCATCTGAGTAATCTTGGGCAGAAACCGATTCTTCAGCAGACTGTTTTTCACACATGTGATCAAACATGGTCGTCATGAACTGGGCGAAGATGTCTGCGCGTTCCTTTGGTAGTTTTTCGCGTGTTGTTTTCGTCCAGAGCAAGCACAACATTAAGAGAAGTAAGGGAATTTGTGCTAGTCCTTCAAGGTTGTGCTGCCATAAGTACATAAAAAACTCTCGAACATCTTCATCATCTTTCAAAAATATACGAGCGAACTCTTCTTGGCGCTGATAATTAAAGCCGTCAATTTTGAATTGAGCATCACTAAAATTTCTCAACGTCTCAGCTTTCATTTCCCTTGAAGTAATTACAACACAACAATCTCTTAATTGGCTTTTTTTCCAGATTTTGAAAACAGGCGACTCGTTTTTTGAACTGTAAACATACTCATCGTAGCCGTCCAAGATAAGCAAGACTTTTTCTTGATGGCGACAAATGTAATCATACAGGTTGTGTACGGAAATTGCACCATTACTATCCAGCACTTCAGAAGCCCTCAGAATGGACGGAACATCTTGGAGATTACTAACATCACGTAATCTCACCAGAAGGACAAGATCAAATGCTCCTAATGTTTCTGAATATCTCTGCTGGGACCAGTCAAAAGTTGCTTTCTTGGTGAAAACAGTCTTGCCGATACCTAGGTGGCAATAGCAGCAAACTGTCAAAAGATTTGTTTTACTTTTATCATGTGAAGTCACGTGAAGTGGACTCTAAAATATTGAAATTTCAATTGATAATTTTCATAAAACTTAACGAGAAATTATTTATTCTATTAATTTTTTATATCACATGAAGAGTGAGCAAGATATCGGTGGCCTTAACTTTGTCTCTTAAGTTATGTCAAAAAGATGTTTCCCTGCCTCAAAGGGGGCATTTTGGAATTGTTAGCTTTGATTAGAGACTAGAGTTATATTCATCAAAAATGGTATCTCATTTAATATTCAAAATTATTCATGATGAAGACAATGGAAATAAATCCTTCATAAAACTGTGAAATACCCAGACTATTTAGGGCCCAGTTGTTCAAAGCTGGGTCAAGATAACCCAGGGTTTATAGTGCAAAATTTGAATTCAGATATGAAAGGTTAAAAACCAAATTTCAGTTTAATTCTTTTTGTCTAAAATTTGATGATTAGATCATCTAAAAAGAGTAGAGAAAAATCCAAGAAAATGCTTTTCATAATTAAAAACAAAAAGAAACCCAGGTTAACAGTGGCAGATCCAGACCTGCAGATAAAATTTATCCCAGGTTGCTTGCAAGCACTGATCAGTCTTCAACCAACTGGGCCAAACTGCCAGTCATCAGTCGATTGTGGCAAAGCTTTAATTTGGTGCGATTTTATCCTTGGAAGATTTCTCTTTAGTTTTATTCTTTTAGCTCTCGGCATTAAATAAACTTGAATTTTAGATAAAATTGAGTCACAATATTTCAACCATAATTGGAGCCTAGAGTGTAGGTCATGATTGCTGTAAAGCCAATAAATATATTGTTTATTATCAGACTGATTAACAGAAAAACTTTGTTTTTTAACTTCTATTTTTTTATAACAGCAACAGACCAAACGCTACATTTGGTTTGACAGCATGGTAACAATCTATCCCACTTGGAATGTACAATATGTCAGCAAAACTCTCAAGACACCTGCACATCACTAGCTGATACAATGCATTTGCTAAGACCTTGTGTCCATTAATTTAATGCCAGTGGACCAATGGTTTCTGTGTTTACGGCTATTTTATGTGATATTTGCATGTACTTATCCTCCTGTGAATTTAAGACAATTAAATTCTTTACTTAATTCACTCACTTACCTGGCTGTCCGTAAACCAAAATTCGCTTGGGTGCACGACGAGGTTCTCTGTGAGCAAAAATCTCAGTGTAGTGGTCAAGCTTTTTTTGTATCACTCCCCTGGGGGTCCTGTCATCCATGACCCAAGACAAGTCTGTGTAGATCTTGTCAATATCAACAGCAGAGTTCTGGTCCCATGGAATGATTCTGACTTTACTACTGGTTTCATAAAGTGATCGCAGCTGTTTCTGGCATTCCTCAAGGCATACAGAATCTATTATTAAGAATTTTTTATCATTTCCAAGAAGAATTTTTAATAACTATATATTTTTTTACAAGAGGAGTGGACAGTCAATTTGCAGAAATATCATGAATAAAATAATACAAATTAATGAAAGGAAACAGCACCTAGGAATGACCCAGTGATCATTTGATACTGTCCAGTGGATTTAAATCAGCAAGCAAGTCTTAGTGATCTTTCCTTTTATAATCTTTTTAGTGGGGTTTGGTGGATGACAATAGAATATACCATACCAGTGGAAAGTTTGGGAGTGGACCCCCTTCCGCAACATAACTTTCAATTAAATTGGGCAATTCCTAAATTAATAGAGGCCTTTACACATAACTCAAAGACAACTGAAACAAAGACGAGTAGGTTTTCAATCCGGGGGTACTGCCATGCCGCTGTGAAGGGTATGGTTTTCAGGCAGTTTACTCTAGGATAGGGTAAATCATCATAAATCATAAATCAGAGCGTTTGGGTCTAGAATAGGGTAACATTTTTCAGGAAACTGATCAGTTGGTTCAAGATTTTATCTGGACAAGGGAAACAGCTACTCTAGGATAGGGGGATTTGGGGAGTTTACTCTAGTATAGGGTAGCAAAATTCAGCTGAACTAGCTCTGGTAAAGGTTAAGGGTTCCAGGGTCCCAGGGTCCCAGCGGCACATCCCCACCCAGAAATTCCTAAAGTCCCCCCCTGGGTTTTTAAGAAGATAAGGGAATCTTGTTTCACTTAAAACAATGTCTGTCTCACCAAAATGAAGCCTTAGTTAATGTCCAACATTAAGAGAAAACACGGGGCAAGGAAGCGAAAAGGGAAAAGTTGAGTGGTTTGTGTCACTTTTTAAAACAAAACTGACATTAATAATTAGCATAAGGAACAAAAGGCATTGTACATGGTGTTTGATTTTAAAGCACCGCATTTCCTTGAATAATAGCCATCCCTCGAGTAATCACCTCTATTGAATAATTGCCCCCCTTCGATGGAAATATTAAATAATCACCTCCCTCAAATAATCACCCCCCTCCCCACCCCTCATGCCATCTTCACTTTCTTTTATCCCCTTCCTGTCAAGTTGAAGTGGAATCTGATCCAGCAAAACTGATCAGTGACGATTCAAGCTCTGAAAATTACAATCAAGGAACCAAATTTGGAACACTTAAAAAGCCCATATTGATCAGTTTATTCAGATGTGATAATTTTTTGATTTAATGGGATAATAAAACAAAATATTTAGGGTACGACTTCCAGTGAGCAATATTTGAAATGATCACCTCCCTCACATAATTGCCCCCTTTTGAGGTGAAAAAAGAAATAATTGCCCCGGCTGTTATTTGAGGAAATACAGTATTTTGGGCAGTTTTGGTTCTTTTTGGCCAGATACTGACCAGAAAGCCGTCTGACTGGCTTCAAACGGCATTTGTCAGCAAATTCTTTTTTGAGGGGGGAAAGGAATTAAATATCAGACAAAAAGAGACTGCTCTCTTTGGCAAAGACCTGTCTTACTGCAATATTATTTGTAAATAAAAAAAGTGCAAGAGGGCTCAGATGTGACAAACAACTTTTATAAAAGATCAATGTTTATATAAGTGAAACTCCAGAACAGTGTTCAATCATTTAATCTGAAAAAACTCCTGGATTTATAGTGTAATTACATTGATGGAATATAGTACCTGGTATCTGTTTGTCTGGCTCTGTGGTCGTCTCTGGCTGATTCTTTGCTGTCAAGTCTATGAAGAAAAAAGTGTTAATTATAAATCGAAAGCCCCTCAAAACAAATTTTACTTTTGGTCTTTGTTATTTGGTATTTTAATATTGTATGTATTTGAGTTTCAAACAGACAGAAAAACTTGAACCATTGGGGGCATTTAATAGATAGGAGGCGTTTATTCTGGTTAGTTTAACTAACTCAAAAAAAACTTATACAGTATGCTTTCGGAGAAAAGTTACTTCATCTACTGATATTTGCAGGCCGTCGTTTGACAATCGTTTTCAAGGATAATATTGAACCAGCCAACACAAAAATAATTATCTGAACAGAAAATTCATCACTATTAATAATTTATTTATTACCACTCATTAGAACAGGGAATGTCGCAAACCTTCATAGTGAGGCCATTCTTTAAAAACAACTGGATCATTTAACATGTTGGACACAAGAGAAGCTGCCATGATGGAAGCAAAAGACTTCCAGGACTTATCAGAAGTGTTGCTATCATCGGAAAAATGTGATATCCCTTTAACAATCACCCATTCAATGTTCATATCATGAGCTGCAGCAAACAGTCCTGTAAGTGGGAAGAAAAAAATAGGCGATGCATCCTAATATTCAATCCTCTGTGAACAAGAATCTAGCACAGCTAATTAGCTCAGAATTTTGAGCGTAGTGACTGTAATTTATAATCTTCTAAGCTCAATAATAATTTATGTTCCTGTATGGCACAATAATAATATAATAAACTACACCCCACAATAACCTTAAATCATACTGTCAATGCAGTCCCATAGTCAAATATGATTGGCAATATATTAGGTACTGTACAGTACTGCCATGATCACAAGCTGCATCTGAGCGACAATTTAGAGTTTTAGGCCTAAATCCAATGCTAGTATCAAATTGTTATAATAGTAATATTATTATAATCAGCTTACCTTCCCCCTCTCTTTCAACTGCAATCACGTGTGATTGAGACATATGGCGTTGTTTGGTGATGAATTGACTACCACTGAATATTTCACTGTCACGGTGCACCTGTACTGTTTCTTCCCCGACTGGATCTTTTAATGGTGGCTTCCAGCCTTCAGTTACAAACAAGTTAAGGTTGCCAATATTTCTTCTTACTGGAGTTGTGAATTCTTCAGTTGACAGTTTAGAGGATACCACTACATCTCCTAGCTTAGTGTCTTTTGATTTTAAACCCATGCATCCACCAACAGAAAAAGCAGCCTTGGGTCTCAGTTTCATCACTGCATTTTTAATAACATTTTGAGAGCCACCTGGACCAGAAGAACCTTTATAACATCTCATCAAAGCAACTTTCAGTGCCTCTTCTCCACTTTCACCCATGGTCCCAAAGTACACGTATCCCAGGGTTGGGTCATAACTTTTAAAAGAATTTTCCAAGAAAGTATAACAAGCTAAGAACTCACAGTCTTTGACTGTCAACAAAAGAATGTCAACAGGAAGCTGGTCATCACTCCAAGGGTTTGACTTGTTTGGAAGATCACTCATTTTAGGCACTTCAATACTTAGAGGAGGAGGGGCATGATTTCTTGACATCTGATGATCTGGATCAGCACCTCCTTTTCTTTTAAGGTCTTGATGCTGCGCCATTGAGTCTCAGTTAAAGATGTCCCTGAAGAGTATAAATTTAATTTAATACCATCACCACATTAAATAATTTCAAGAAGTTTCATTATTAATAAAATTCCTTTTTATGTCACAGCGATATTTTTAAGGGTCAAACCCTTTTATTATATTAGTGGACACCACTGTACGGTGACCACGAGAAGTGTCCACCTACAGGTAATAGATTGAGGTGTTCGCCTCACAAAGGCAGAGATGCCAACCTCTGGAGATCTAAAATCTGGAGACTCTCTTTTTCACTACCCTACTGGAATTTCAACTTACCCCCCCCCTTCCCCAACAAATTGACCCAGCCCCCAATAGGAATGACTTAGGACATTAAATGAAGTCTTACATTGAGTACATACTATCAAAATTCGCAATCATAACATAACATAACATACATGTTTATTCAAACTCATAATAACTACATGAACTAATTACATTGTTAAAAAAAGAATATTTAAAACAGTTGATTCTAGATAATTTACAATAAAGCTTATACGAGTGATTAATGCCCTAGTGGATTTGACTTTTGCAAATTGAAAGAATTCCTCAAAATCCAAGTGTGATAAGCCAAACACGATCTTATAACATTCAACAAGAGAGGAATATGTCCTACGACTGGACAAAGATGGCCAATGTAACGTGTCACAACACTCTTCATAAGACATATATCACCTCTTTTTTGCCTAAGAGCTAATCTTGACGCGCGCCTTTGCACGCTCTCTATTGCATGAATATCTTTGACAAGATATGAGTTCCAGACTGGAGCAGCATACTCTAGAAGTGGTCTGACCAATGTTTTGTAAAGCAATGAAAAAGTTGTTGTATTAGCTGTTCCAACAGACCGTCTTATTAGCCCTAGGACTTGGTTCGCCTTATTCACCATAGTACTAATATGTTCACTCCAAGTAAGATCTTTTGATATAATAATTCCAAGATCTTTAAAGCTCTTGACATCTTTGAAGGCCGTACCTAGTTTATAATTCGTAGTTGATTTGTCACGAGAATGCGTTATTCGCATTGCTTCACACTTTTCCTCATTGAAACAAAGTTGCCATTTTTTCGCCCATTTACCAAGATTATTCAAATCAGTTTGAAGGTATTGTTCATCGAGACTAGGGTTGCGAAGCTCTCTGTAAATCTTTGTGTCATCCGCAAATAATTTAATTTTTGAAGAGACACTATCAACGATATCATTTATATATGATAGGAATAAAATTGGACCAAGAATAGTTCCCTGTGGGGTACCAGATATCACAGGTGCCCAATCAGAAAAAGTCCCTCTTACAACAACTCGTTGCTTTCTACACGTGAGGAAATGCCTCAACCAGTTAAGAAGTTTGCTCTCAATACCGAGGCTATATAACTTTATGAGTAGACGCTCATGAGGAACACTATCAAAGGCCTTTGCGAGATCAAGAAATACAACATCTGTTGCTACAGATGAATTCCTAGATCTGGCGAAGTCATGAAAAGTAGAGTAATTGGGTCACAGTAGACCTACCCTGCAAAAAACCAAATTGGTTTTTGTTTATCACGTTATGGTCTTGCCAAAATGACGTTAACCTATCGCGTTAACCTATCGCGTTAGCCTATAGTTAACCTATCGCATTAATCATCGTTTTGATGCCAGAAATAATCTTTGTCAGTGACTAAATACGTGCAAAAATGCCCCAGAAATCGTACTGCAGATAAGAAAAATTCAAGTTTTGAGCTAACAATGGGCTAAATCACAAACTAAGGCACACAAAAGCTCAAAAGATGATTTTATCCGGGAGATTTGGTGACCCGTACGGGAGAGCGGGAGATCGGTGCCGTATCTGGGAGACTCCCGGATAATCCGGGAGAGTTGGCATGTATGCAAAGGTCAAACGCAGATTTTGTAAGTGCCTCAGTCCATGACTATAGTTAGTGTCCACTTTTAGAAGAGGTGTCCATCCACTTCACAAATAGGTCAATATGCGAACAGTTTTTGTGACTTCGTGGGTCGACAACTAGTTCTTGCTGTGGAATTAGGGGTCCGTTTCACAAAGGTCAATTATGCAGTGATTGTGAGTGTCTGCAGGGGCCAAGCAATTTGTGAGAGATTCCCACTTAAAGGAAGGTCAACGAAAAATTAAGTATTATAGTGACTGGGACCATGACTAAGTCTATGCTTAGAAGAGAGTCGAACCATTACTACCAAAGGTTTGACTGTACCATGTATTAGAGAGGTAACGTGTTACTAAAAATTGTATTGCGCGACTAGAGTGACTTTCTAGAAGCCTCGCGAGAGTTCATAGTTTGTTTATTTTAGGTTCTTGTGTAAGTGTTTCTAAAGCAGCATATTTTGTAATCTTTCTATAATGAAATTAGAGTATTTAGAAAGTTCTAGAATCTTATTGTGAAAGTATTTAAGTAGGCGAGTCCGAGCGAAGGTTTAACTAGTTTTCACAAGCAAAGAGTTTGACGTTAGTCATGTTTCGTCAAGTGTGGCGGATCGAGGCAGTCTTTATTCAAGTTGGTGGAGTCTTGTAACTTTATTGAGTTACATGCTGTTGTAGAATTTTTAACCTCGCAAAACTACATTCATTTTTTGGAATACATCTTCTTGCGGTTGCTGTTCTGACATTACCCTGCGTTCACAGTTTAAATTGCAAGCTAACCATCCTCTAAAAGATTACCCACATAACAGAGGTTCATACAAATAGTGATTAAGGCAATGGTATACTCTAGAATTATGCACGAAATGTTTGGAATGTTGACAGTTTCTGGCCTGTACCATTTTACTGTGTACTGTACTGTAATCAATAGTATATGGGTCATTTCGCGATCATGGATATTATATATATATACATTTGCATGAGTGTGGTTAGACAAAAATTATTAGAACAGATACATAATAACAAACAACCATTTTTTCCCTTTCACTTTGTTTATGACAGACAGGTGCTAGTTGCATGTTGAGTGAAAACTCATCAAAATTACAGTCTTATGCAAAAATTTATATATTTAAATAAACTCATCTTGAGCTGTCATGGATGTTACAATACCAAAGAAACCACGTTCTTAAGTGCAAATATTAAACATTAAATTCCTGTGAATTCTGCAAGCATAACTAAAAACAAATTATATTGTTTTTTAGGTAAATAGTGATACTACAATAACAAAGTGATAAATATTTCTTTTATGATGTGTGCCCTCTTTGCTTGATGGCAAAACACTGTCGTGGATGTTACATTTCGGATCATGGACGTTAAGCGTTACAGTGTGTAACAAAGATAAAGAAATCAGTGATGTCAAAAATGTAAATTCCCTGTACCTTCTTTCTTTCCTACAAACATTAGAAAACTGGCCATTAGTTTTGAAATAGGCTTTATATTTCCTTTGAATTTTCACCTTTCTAATGAAAAAACTTATTAAAAAGTCACCAAGTAAATGTTTGTGACTCATCTTTAAGCTGATCTTCATGTATTTTTTTTCTTCTATGATTTAAAATTTCAAAGAAGCTGCCTGTAGAAAAGGTGTTTTTAAAAGAAAAGCTTGGTGTTTTTAAAAGAAGAGCTTGCTTCAAGCTCTTTCTCAGCATTGCAATGAAAAATCGATACATTTGTTACTTGGTCTGTTAATTAGAGTATCTTCCAGTTCCACATTATTCTCAAATTTTAGAGACTGTAGGCAATTTAGAAGTTTCCAGAGAGCTACAATATATTGACGATTTGATATGTTTATACCTTAAAAGATGAAGTAACTTACACTTGACATTTTTGTTGACTATTGTCAGTAATGTTATTAATAATGTTGTCCTTATAATAATTCACTATTGTCTCCAAAAAGATTCTGAGTGCTCTCTTTAACTCCATAATAATATTCAGCAATGCTGAAAATACATTATTACTGTTATAGAACAAATTAATATTATAGAACCAGGCTTTTTAGGCAATTATTAGTGAGCTTCCTGCATTATTTAATTGTTGTCATGATGTAACGTCCATGAAAGTTAACATCCATGAACTGAAGTATGAGAAATTTAACTTCTCAAACTCATTAATAATTCATAAAGAAAATTCAAAGGAAATTAATGGTTAATGAGTGTTTGGATATCGGATGAAAAACTGCTCATTTTTGCATCCTTAATTTCTCCTTCAAAAATGATTTTGTTTGAGAAGAAATATCAAACATTCGACACAGCGTTTCATCACCAGATGAAACACCTCGAAGTTCGTCAAAAATACTCCGCTACGCGTCATATTTTCAACTCTCTTCTTGGTGTTTCATCTGGTGATGAAACACTGCGTCTCATGTTTGAAACATGGAACTGATTGGTTTTGCCATTTTCACAGATGTATTTTACTTGGTCTGCAAATAAAAAAGCCTCTTTGTTATTTTTTGTCTTGGGGTTACACAACAGCTGTGCGGAGAAAAAACATAACGTCCATGTCAATAGTTTTGGCAGTCGACTCACTGATTTCTCTGAAAAAATGTAAGTTGAAAATACTGTGGTTTTTAATGGAGAGCTTTGGTTAAACTAAACATTTGATGTTAGATTTGATCTTCATGAACTCAGTTGTTTGAATTATGGTTAAAAGATTATTGCATTCATTATTACCAGAATATGAGTCTTTTAATGGTAACTTACTTTGGGTACCCCCTCAGTATCAAATGGTGGATTTGCACTTATGTCCTGATGATTTTTGAAACTTCAGTCCTTATGTATTTTGGCTATGCACTTAAAATCCCAGGCTGAGTACTTTATTTCAAAAATGGTCATTTTTTCCCTCTCACGTGGAATGGACCATATATTAAATTTCAATGAATGCATCTAAATTAAAAGTACTTGGTAATGGTATAATACTCTAGTGATGCAAGAAAGTTTTACAAGCTTAACTCCCTTTACCATTTTACTGCAATCAACTTAATAAACTCAGCTAAATTACCTTCTCCTTTGATGGCTTCACACCATCTAACTTATTGTATGTGTTTAATTCAACTGACATAAAATCCTGAAAATAATATCTAAAAAGATGGTAAAGATGACGTCAAAATATGAGATATAATCCTATTTTGAAGCCATGCAAATTACTACAACAACCCCATGGATTCCCCCCAGGGGGGAAAGGGGGTACTGAACAAAGTTCTATGGGAGGCTCCACCCCAAGGTCCAACCCCTTACCCAGCTATGAAATACCATTTTGACAGAAAAGGCACTCCTTTCATCTACCTTCTTTTGACAAATATTGTACCCCTTTCACATACCTAGTTTTGAACTTTGTATCCCTTTTTAACTGCTGATAAGGCACTTTAAGCAATCAGGTCCAATGATCCACCCAGCTGGGTCTGCTTTGTAAAAGAATGCATAACAAAGTCAATGCTGAAATCAAACAGGCTTTTTATTAATTAATAACAACAAATTTAGCGAATTTGATGGCAAACTGCATAAAAACGTGGCAGGTCATCAATGAGCTAATACTTCTCATAAATCCGGCAGGTCTTCTGTTAAAGAATTAAGTCCGAATGGAGTTTCTATGTCTAATTCAACCTCTTTGTCAAACACTTTTGATGATCACTTCTCTACAATTGGTCCAAAACTCAGGCTTGCAAAATACCTTTAAACAATGGCCCCAGTTTTCAGGAATTTAAACATCTCTGGCCTTAAAGCGAAAGATTCCAAATTCATCCCCATGGATAGTAATCAGGTGTTGTCTCTTTTTAAAAAGGTGCTGGTCCAGATGGAATATCTAGTCAGCTAACATTATTGATTGTGCTGATTTAATTGCACCTCATATTTAAATAATATATTTCATAGTTCTTTAGCTAATATGGTATATTATTTCCTGACGATTGGAAGTCCGCAAGGGTTACTAGCTCCTCTATTCAAGTAAGCAGTGAAAGAAGCCACATAGACAATTATCGTCCAATATCAGTTATCTCTATCCATTGGCAAAGTATTTGAAAGCAGAATCTATTATCAACTCTTTACCAATAATCAGATCATAACATTTTGTCTAAGCACCAATCTGGATTCCACGTGCATTGATATAGGTAACATTCACGCTGTTGCTTTTCTTGACCTTAAGAAAGCGTTTGACACAGTCGATCATGATATATCCTATTGTCTAAATTACATCTTTGTGGTATATTAGGTGTTACCCATAAATGTTTTTCCTCCTTTTTTACATAATCATACTCAGAAATGTCTTGTCAATGGTTCCCTTTCAGAATGTTGCATCCTCATGTGTGGTATTCCCCAAGATAATATCAGGGCCTCTACTGTTTTTGCTATACATCAATGATTTGCCCTTGAATTGTCTGTTTCATTCTGAACAAAGAATGTATGTTGATGATACCCATCTGACTTATTTGAGTGGCAATATCCACTCCATTCAGACTTTCCTTAATGAAGACTTGCTCAACATTAAACGCTCAGTGGCTTATCGCAAATAAATTAATGTTATATATATGACTAAAACTAAATTCAAATTAAATGGCTCAAGGCCAAAGCTTAATAATTTACCTTCTCTGCCTTCCTTAAAATAAATAATGTTCCGATCAAACATTCTCATTCCTCTAAGTCTCTTGGCGTGCTTATTGATGAAAATCTAACATGCAAAAACCATGTTGACACTGTAGTACACTATATTAAAGAAAATTGCATCTGGTAACCTATCAATCATTGTTTGCTCCCTCCCACCTTGTATGCTGTCTATTGCGGCCACCAATTACATTTTGACAACTTCAGCGTGCTATAGGGTAGCTCGCACGCCTATAGGGTACTGAGCACAACCTCCTCTGCTAGGCCATTATAGGGAGTACCCACCCCCCTGCCCCAAGGGGAAACTACCCAATTATCTGGTTCAGAGATATATCATATCTACATCAAAACACACTTACAGCAGAGGTCACAGAGAATATAAACATACTTTCAGGAGGATAACTTTAATCTTGTGTTATCACTGGTGGTGACATCTTCAGAATCTTGGTAACAGGCCTACAAAACTGAAAAAAATATCATGCACTTAACACCTTTTTACGTGACGGGTGATTTTAATATTTCTGATTCAACCTCAAATAACACAAGTGATCCCTGCAGTTAGTTCATCTCCTCTTGCCTTTTTTTTGCCTTACATTTCACTACGATTCCACGATTTGACTAAAAGAGATATCAAATGGTCTTTGCGACCATAATTTGGCGGCACACTACAGCAGTGCATAAAATGATGTAGTGATTAAACTTGTCTTGCGAGCATCAAACAAAAATAACAATTTTTTCACCAGCAACAACCTTTTTATTACAAGAAAATGCCTATTAATAGAAGTAATTATAACAAGCTTAAGCTTGGGATCGACTATTTACCAAGTTAAGAGTTGAGTTGAGTTTGAGTTGAGTTTGAGTTGAGTTTGAGTTAAGTTTGAGTTAAGTTGTAGTTACCGTTTTTACTTAAAATGTCGTTAATACTATCCACACGACATAAAATGTGCGGATTATTTATATATAAAAATTATTATTTTTGAGGTGGTATTTTAGTTTTTAATACCCGATCGAGTTGGGTCAACCAAATCTGCGAGCCACGCGAGCCACCAAAAAGGAAGTCATGCGAGCCATGCCTGTGAGCCATTTTTGAGTAATTCCGTTTTTTCTTAAATTGGTCGGGAGGTCGCCGATTATTCCACCAGCAAACATCCCTGGAGTTTTACCTGCGACTTGCCTAGCCGCCATCTTGGGAACGGAGTTACCTCGCTCCCAGGTTCCGCTCTCTCTGGCGCGACGCCAAGCAGTGTTCCTCGTGATGGCTCAATTTCGCTCAATACGGAGATCCAACTAGCCGTCAATATAGTGCAGTATTGCCGCCTCAAAACAAAAATTCTTGCTATATACGCGTTATCAGGTTTTTGTTTTGCAAAAAGTTTCGAAAAACCCGACTTTTCACGCCATAAATTACTCATTGAAACATAAAAATTGAAAAGAACATCTTTCTGAAGTTTTTCAAAGAAACATGCGTCGAACAAAATGAGTAAATAACGCAAGTTTGCCAAGTTTTTAGCGAAAAAACTTTTTTTCAAAATTATGATGGCGTGATTAGCCCGCCGCGATAGCTCAGCTCGATGTAAACAAACCGTTCAAACCAACAAAAGAGATTTAGAACTTATCGTATCGTTCACTTTTGATAGAAAGGATCGCTTCATTGAATACAGTGTTGCTTTGTCTACCAAACTTGACAAAGTAATCAACATTTTAGTCCTTACTTTGAATATTTTTTGAAGTTTTTGTTTTCACGGAGGAACCCATTAAATTGCCGCGGGAATTTTTCAACCAATCACAGACTGACTTTAAGTTGAAGTCATCATTTTTTATTCTGAGAGAATGAAACATACAGCTCCACCGCTCCGCTACTCGAAGGGGTATCCAATGACAGCTGTCACTCATTGCTATCCACGTGGAAAATCATTCAGGAAAAAAGATAACAGCGCACTTTAGTTCGAACTTACTGTGTTGGCGACAAGAATGGTAAGTAAATCGGTTAATTTTAACAGGTTTGCTCCTTAGTGAATCAAATTTACTAGAACTCTGACAGTAGGCTGACTGTTGCATGTGTTTGCCTCTTTCCTCAGTCAAGTGTTTCTTCAAAACTAGCCACTAGAGTGGCAGAGGCGGATTTGAGGTCGCATTCGACCCACCAGCAGACGGCAAATGTTTTTATCACGCCGCTTCGTTTCAAATTGGATTTAGTGCGTCAACATTGACCTCTGTCATCTTTGAGTACCTGGATAATCATCAGTTTGATGTAAGTAGTTAATTTCTTCTGGCCATTTTTGTTCAATTTCATTCTGAAGATGCAAGAAAGGTTGCCTAGGTTTTTATAAGTCTGAAGCGATTGCTTTGATGCCGTGTTTGTCAATGAATTTATTTTTGTACATGTTCGGTGTTTTCGAGGGTAATACGTCGAGGGTCGAGGGTAACAAGTCAAGGGTTGAAAAATCTCAAAATTGAAAAAAAAAATCGTTGCATTAAGACCCAGCTGATAGCCTGCTGAATCATAGAAGCACGTGCCATCGCAAGGCGGGTTGAAGTCTATGTCTATTTGAAATCCTTTGTCCTCCACATACTTCAACAACTTAACACTACCACTTGTCTCCATTTAATACTCAGTGTCTGTAAAATTTTTAAAAATACTCAACATTCTTACAATTTCTAAACACTTTTTCGAAAAAAAGGAGGAACCTTATTCATGAAACTCGGGATTTTTACATCTAGCTGAATAGAAAGCAATGGAATGTTGATTTTGTCCGGAAAACAAGTGTCATCGCATTCTGTCTCTTCGACTACGAAAGATAAGATTGTTATTCTTTTGTCTGACAGCTCCAGAGAAAACAGAACATAATTGCTGTAATAACATTACATATCGTTTTTAACTATACCTGAAGGAAACTTTCCAGCTTTGGAAATTAAAATCTGGACGTGACAAGTTAATACCTTTATATTTTTAGTAAAATGTATCCGGTTCCTGAATGTTTTTAATTCAATATTTATTTGACACTGGATTTCCAGTATGCTAAAATATCGGCGGGCTCAAAAAAAGTCTATCCTTTTCTTAATACACCCTCTTCCCAGTGCGCCGGAAAAATCACTTTCAAACGCAGCATTCAGGCAATTGTTATACCTTATTGTAGACAATTATAAACGTGATTTAAATTTAATAACGCGAGTTAGAGGGAAAATGTTTTTTTTTTTTTTTAAAGAAAGGGAATTTAATAACGCGAGGAACGGGCCTGACTTTTAGGGTTTAAGATAACTTGGCTGTTGTACCGCTCTTTTGAAAGCAAGAATAATATAAACTGGAAATATTGCAGGGACATACCATATTTATTAGAATAAGCCGCCGGTGCTTCTCAAGTCACTGGCGCCCGAGGGCAGCGCTTATTTGGGGCGTCGCTTATTCGAGTAAATACGGTATCTCTAAAGTTTTTACATTGTGAAATAATAATAAAAAAAAATAGTACAGAAAATGGAGGCCTGCTACTTCTTTCATTACACAGGATAACGGAGATGATCGACTGGCCTTTCTGTGTCAAACAGATATGGGTGGAAGGGAAGTGCCAGGAACATGGTCAGAGGCTTTAGAAATACTTGAAACAACTATGCGACGCTTGTCATCCAAGCCTTGGCAGATGCCTTGCATTACAAGCTTGTTATTATAACAGTACATGGGGTAAACTACTTGAATTTTCTACTTTACCTAAGTAATGTATGCCTAAATAATAAAGTCGAAGCTGTGGTAAACGGCAACCTTGGAAATTGGCAGAAGTGGTCGTATCTATAGCCAGTAGTTTTCAAGCCT